CACAACTACAACCTCAACCCCAAGAACTTGCCTATATGAGCGCCAAAGGAGCCGCCCAGCCGGCTGATACCCAATCAGAACACCAAACTCGCCGATCAGAAACCGCAGATGATCGAGATGAAATTATTCGTGTACTCCGTGATGAAGTTGATACTCTCCGCCGGGCTAGACAGCCTAAACGTACATCTTCCGGAGGGGATAGTCAACTCATTGAACGACTATCGGAACTGTTTGAGCGATCAGATAGTCGATCAGCGATAGAACGTGAGGAAAAGAAAATTCAACTGGAAGAGCAACGAATTCAACGAGAAAAACAGGAAATCCGAGAGGAAGAAAAGAGACTCCATGAACTTGCAAAAACTCACTGGCGGGATACCCGACGCCTACAAGGCCGGGATAACTACTCTGAATGGAGAAAGAACCTTCTGTTTGATGCCAACTATATTGGAGCCCAAGATGTTTTACTTTGTCCCAATGATGTCCCTAAAGACACCCCACTGCAGTTAGCTCGCTATACCACGTCAAAGCAGCTGCTACATACCCGAATCTTAGACCGTTTGACCCTCGATATCCTCCATCAAGTCCATACAGATCATACTCAACACCCAAGCGAGATCCTATTGCATTTAGATACCATTTATGGTGTCTCACCCGCAGAAGAACGCCTACTCCTCATCAAAACGCTCATGAATTTGAAACCAAATGGCAACACTGTTGCAATGATGCGGCAGTGGCAGCGTATAACCACTGAGATAGAGCGGAAAGGATATGATGTCTCAGAGATATGCCATGACATAGGCATCATCCTTTTAGGTGACTTCCAACGCTCATTCGTCCGTACTCAGTTGGATAGTCTCTTTGCTGGCTCTAAACGAGACCGCTTTCATGAGATGGATATGGCCGATGTGATTGACCAAATAGAAAGCCGTACACCACCTCCACCACACACATATCGACAGCTTTCATACACCATCTATCGACAGGATACTTGGAATCCCATACACCTCACCTCTGGTCCAACCAATCGAGGTACACACAAGGGGGGGAATGCATCATCAAACACCTTTACCCCTACCTCTGGCGAATCAACACCATCTAATAGACGATTACCATTTTGCTCCCACTGCAAACGAGGCAATCATTCACTGGATGACTGTTGGACTCTTCACAGACTTCGTCCGCGTACCAGCCATCGTCGTCTCCGGTCGAATCTCCCATCGCCCAGGGCCGTCGAGTGCCCACCCGATCCCTGGCTGGCTGTGCACCTTCTGATGTCGTCCGCCGGGAGGATTCTTTGGACTCGGATGCAGATCCTGCTGCTTCCGCGGGACAGAAGCGGGGTTTCAGCCAGATCACATCTTCTCCTCCCACTCAACAATCGACATCAACACCCCAACCGAACCCTCAGAGAACTCCAGGCGGTCAATCTCATTCACATGACAATGAATTTTGTACACAGCGGTGTCTCCTAGGTCTGCAGCAGGGTGGTACATTGGATGCCCGCTGCCCCAATGTGGAGCTCCATCAGTCCGGGGGCCATGGCCGCCGACACCCGATCAACGTGGAAGAGTTGGTGCAAATGGTCAAGCAGCAGTTGGATGAGAACCTGGATCGTGATTGCACTCCGATGGGGGGGCTGTGGGTCGTACGGGGCGCCGTTCAAGGTCACTTGTGCCGCGTACGGTTATACAGTTGTTGGTAAAGGAACGACGTCGCGGCTTTGGAAGGAGGTGTCGCGTGAGGCGGAGATCTACCGTGTTCTTCGGCGTGTACAAGGGTCTGCAGTTCCAGTTTTCCCTGGAAGGATTGACTTGGCCCAAGTTTATTTCTTGCATGGTGCGGGAGAGATCCGCCACATGCTCCTCATGGGCTGGGGCGGCGATAGTGTGGGCCGTATCAAGCACGACGAAAACATCCAACGTGCGATTTCACGCTCCGAGAAGAAAATCCGTTCTCTTGGCGTCTTCCATCAGGATCTCCGGCCAGAGAACATTCTGTGGGACCCAGAGCTGAAATGGGCCTTAATAATCGACTTTCATCGATGTACGTTGGATCACCGACCGATTCATCGGCGACCTCGGTCTCTGAAGAGATTATTGTCCGGGACCGAGGAATGGGAAGTAAAATGAGTGCGTGTTGTATGAGTATCAGACCGTCACAAAATAATACTATGCCACAGTCGAGTCCGCTAACAGTCCCAGCGAAGAATGCAAAAGGGATTGGCGGGAGCAGTCGACACACAAGGGATGAAACTGTTGACTGAAAAGAGAAAAAAGAAGAACTTGATCGGAAGCTGAGGGATGTCACCGTCCCTTTTGTATACCTTGTGTCCGCGAACGGAGCAAGAGAGTAGGTGGGGAAATCAGTCCCAAACGGGTTAGCGCGGGAAATGTTCGTTGTCCGCAGGACGCGCTTGGATCCACTTTCACTTTAACTTAGCCAATCAGAAATCGACGGGTGCGGGCCAGATCAGATAACAGATTAGGCCGCGGATCAGATAAAGAGCAGCGGTGGACCAATAAAATGTTACTTTCTATTGGTTGGTGGAGGATAGTGGGTTCAGTCTAGTCATTATCGATTTTATTCCGTGCCAATTCGAGATCGAATCCCATGTACGGAGTAACAATGGACAACCGGAGCTGTGGGTGTATCCACGAGGGAGTACTCCCAAGTATGCGTACAGTACCCAATACTTTCATTGGGTCGTTGTGGCCTCTTCTCAGACAGTCACATAGAAGGACTGGTAGGGATATATTCCGCAGTCCATATTGCTACCATACCAGCGTAGAGATAGAGCATTCGGTAGACGAGATTGAACACTTGCCCAAACATAATAATAATGCAAATGGTATCAAGAATGGTATAATTTATTTATATTTATGTTTATTTTTTGCTATAATTTTCTATATTTTCCCTTGGCAGTGAATGCCCCAGGCCAACAACCGACCATCTGACCTGGCCCGTGCACACTCTTCCGGACTGACTTCCAACCTCACCACCTCCAAGTGACCAGTTCAACCCACCATCTGCTTTTCCCTCTTCTTATGCTCAGCTTGCCCAAGAGGTTGAAGCTTCAAATGTCCATCCTGGCGGGTGGTCCGCAATCATGGCGCAAGCAGGTCCTATCACGGACGTCACTTCACGGCTCTTCGTCGAACTGAAGTCGAAGAATGAGGAGGCACGAGTGAGAGCTGCATACGATCTGTACGATAACGTCCTTGCCATCTCAAGAGGTGCTTACTCTTTTGATCTTCTCTGTTTTTGATTGCTGTATCCCCTGCTGACACTTGGATTTTCCTTGTTTTGCAGACTGGTCCCCCGAAAAGTTCCTCGAGTTCTACAATGCTGTCAGTCAACGTATCGCGCAGCTCGTCGTCACGGGCAGCGACACCAACGAAAGAATCGGCGGTTTGCTCGCTCTCGATCGTGTAATCGATTTCGATGGTGTCGACGCCGCTCAGAAAACGACTCGATTCGCCAGCTATCTGCGCAGCGCGCTTAGAAGCAACGATACCCTGGTGCTGACGTATGCGGCCAGGGCGTTGGGCCGTTTAGCCAAGCCAGGCGGAGCTCTCACTGCGGAGTTGGTCGAGAGTGAAATCCAGTCGGCTCTGGAGTGGCTTCAGTCTGAACGACAGGAAAGCAGACGTTTCGCGGCAATACTCGTGATGCGGGAACTGGCGAAAGGCTCGCCGACTCTTCTCTATGGCTTTGTTCCGCAGATTTTTGAGCTCATCTGGGTCGCCCTGCGGGACCCCAAGGTGCTTATCCGGGAGACGGCGGCGGAAGCAGTCAGCGAGTGCTTCGAGATTATCGCGGCGCGAGACATACAGGTCCGACAGTTGTGGTTTGCACGAATCTACGAAGAGGCGTTGCTGGGGCTGAAGTCGAACCATGTGGACTGGATTCATGGGTCGCTTTTGGTCCTCAAAGAGCTTCTGCTGAAGGGTGCCATGTTCATGAATGAACACTACCGAAATGCGTGCGAAATCGTTCTCCGTCTAAAGGATCATCGTGATCCTAAAATCCGCACCCAAGTCGTCTTGACGATCCCCATCCTCGCATCCTACGCCCCCGTTGACTTTACCGAAATTTACCTCCATCGATTCATGATTTACCTACAAGCACAGCTCAAACGGGATAAGGAACGGAATTCAGCGTTCATTGCTATTGGAAAGATTGCCAATGCGGTCGGGGTGGTAATCGCGCAGTACCTCGATGGAATAATCATATATATTCGAGAAGGACTGGCCATGAAAGCGTAGGCTCAGACCCTCCACCCAAAGTATTGTCTCAAGTCCGCTAACAATCACAGACGTAACCGATCTGCGGTCAATGAAGCACCGATGTTTGAATGTATCAGCATGCTGTCACTCGCTGTCGGACAAGCGCTTAGCAAATACATGGAAGCGTTGCTTGACCCAATCTTTGCATGTGGGTTGAGCGAGTCACTGACACAAGCCCTTGTGGACATGGCCCATTATATCCCACCCATTAAGCCCACAATCCAAGAGAAGCTGCTGGACATGCTGAGTATCATCCTCTGCGGAACGCCGTTTAGGCCTCTTGGATGCCCGGAAAATAGACTTCCACCTATGCCCTCATTTGCAAAGGACTTTGCTCCCCAAGAGCTGCACTCCGACTCAGAAATTGCTCTGGCTCTCCATACCTTGGGAAGCTTTGATTTCTCTGGCCACATCCTGAATGAATTTGTGCGGGATGTCGCCATTAACTACGTGGAGAATGACAACCCGGAAATCCGGAAAGCCTCTGCGCTCACTTGCTGCCAACTATTTGTCCACGACCCCATCATCAACCAAACCAGCAGTCATTCAATCCAGGTTGTTAGTGAGGTGATTGACAAGCTCCTAACTGTTGGCATTGGGGATCCTGGCCCAGAAATCCGGCGTACCGTGTTATGGTCGTTGGACCGGAAATTTGACCGTCATCTGGCGAGGCCTGAGAACATCCGGTGTTTATTCTTGGCCGTCAACGATGAGACATTCTCTGTTAGAGAAGCTGCGATTTGTATAATCGGACGGCTTTCCAGCGTCAATCCGGCTTATGTTTTCCCGCCATTGCGGAAGCTGCTTGTCAACCTCTTAACCGGCCTTGGGTTTGCCAGTACAGCTCGCCAAAAGGAAGAGAGTGCCCGGCTAATCAGCCTATTTGTCTCGAATGCAACGAAACTGATTAGGTCGTATGTCGACCCTATGGTGACTACTCTGCTTCTCAAGGCGACGGATGCCAACCCGGGAGTTGTCTCGACAACGTTGAAAGCAGTAGGTGAACTTGCGAACGTCGGGGGAGGTGAAATGAACCATTACCTGCCACAGCTGATGCCGATTATCTTGGATTCACTCCAAGATCTATCTTCACATGCAAAGCGGGAATCGGCGTTGCGAACGCTTGGTCAATTAGCCAGTAACTCTGGCTACGTGATAGACCCATATATCGAGTATCCTCATCTCCTCGCTGTACTCATCAATATCATCAAGACGGAACAGACTGGGTCTCTCCGTAAGGAGACCATCAAACTCCTGGGAATCCTTGGTGCCCTTGATCCATACAAGTATCAGCAAATCAGCGAAGATGCGCCAGACATCCATCACATCAACGAGGTGCAGCAGGTTTCCGATGTTGCCCTGATCATGCAAGGACTCACGCCGTCTAATGAAGAGTACTATCCCACGGTTGTTATCAACATCCTCATGCAGAACATCCTGCGGGAGAATTCTCTGGCTCAGTATCATTCTGCGGTAATTGATGCAATTGTTACCATCTTCAAGACCCTGGGATTGAAATGTGTTCCCTTCCTGGGGCAGATTATCCCTGGCTTCATAGCAGTCATCAGAGGATTCCCCCATAGCCGTCTCGAATCATATTTCAACCAAATGGCCATTTTGGTTAACATTGTACGGCAACATATCCGTGCCTTCCTACCGGGAATCATTGATGTTATTCGTGATTTCTGGGAAACATCCTACCCAGTACAGGCTACGATTCTGTCCCTCATGGAGGCCATTGCATTGTCCTTGGAAGGCGAGTTTAAAAAATATCTCGCTAGCCTTGTCCCACCCATGTTGGATACCCTCGATAATGACATCACGCCGCTTCGTCAGCCGTCAGAGAGAATTCTTCATTCCTTCTTGATCTTTGGATCGAGCGGGGAAGAGTATATGCATTTGATTGTTCCGTCCATTGTCCGCCTGTTTGACGGGACTCAAAATCCACCAAGTATCCGAAAGTCTGCTATTGAAAGCCTTACAAAACTCTCGCGTCAGGTCAATGTTTCTGACTTCGCCTCTCTGATGGTTCATTCGTTGTCCCGAGTTGTTGGTGCCAGTGAACGTTCCTTGCGCCAACCTGCAATGGACTGTATTTGCGCTCTCATCTTCCAGCTCGGACAGGACTTTACTCATTATATTCATCTTCTGAATAGGGTTTTGAAGACTAACCAGATCACCCACGTCAACTACCAGATCCTGGTGACAAAATTGCAAAAGGGAGACCTACTCCCGCAAGATCTGAACCCTGACGAGAACTACGCGACCCTAGGAGATGACACAAGTTTCGCTGAAATCGGCCAAAAGAAAATGGTGGTTAACCAGCAGCATCTCAAGAATGCCTGGGATGCATCTCAGAAGTCGACACGCGAGGACTGGCAGGAATGGATCCGTCGTTTCAGTGTTGAACTTCTAAAGGAGTCGCCTTCCCCTGCACTCCGCGCGTGCGCCAGTTTGGCCGGTATATACCAGCCACTCGCAAGAGATCTGTTCAACGCTGCCTTCGTGTCGTGTTGGACCGAGTTGTATGACCAATACCAAGAAGAGTTGGTCCGGTCGATTGAGAAGGCGCTCACCTCTCCGAACATTCCACCTGAGATTCTTCAAATTCTTCTCAATCTCGCCGAGTTCATGGAACATGATGACAAGGCGCTGCCGATTGATATTCGTACGTTAGGCAAGTATGCTGCGAAATGCCATGCGTTCGCGAAGGCTCTCCATTACAAGGAACTTGAATTCGAACAAGATCAGAATTCAGGAGCAGTGGAGGCACTGATCACCATCAACAACCAACTGCAGCAGTCTGACGCTGCCATCGGTATTCTCCACAAAGCCCAAGCTTACCGTGATGTGGAGCTCAAGGAGACCTGGTTCGAAAAACTCCAGCGATGGGAGGAAGCTCTTGCTTCTTACAAACGACGGGAAAGGATTGACCCTGATTCATTTGGGGTTACGATGGGCAAGATGCGGTGTTTGCATGCTCTTGGAGAGTGGAAGGTGTTGTCGGACCTTGCCCAAGAAAAGTGGAACCAAGCGTCCCTTGAACATCGGAGAGCCATTGCTCCTCTGGCTGCTGCCGCCGCTTGGGGTCGGGGACAATGGGAACTGATGGACTCGTATCTGGGTGTCATGAAGGAGCAGTCTCCAGATCGATCGTTCTTTGGCGCTATCCTTACGATTCATCGGAACCAGTTCGACGAAGCGACCATGTATATCGAGAAGGCACGGAACGGCCTGGACACGGAACTTTCGGCCTTGCTTGGAGAGTCGTATAACCGTGCCTATAACGTTGTGGTTCGCGTCCAGATGCTGGCCGAACTTGAGGAAATCATTACGTACAAGCAGAACATCGGCGATCCTGAGAAGCAGGACGCCATGCGCCACACCTGGAACAAACGGTTGCTTGGGTGTCAGCAGAATGTCGAAGTGTGGCAACGCATGCTTAAAGTTAGGGCGCTTGTCAGTTCGCCCCGCGAGAATCTTGATATGTGGATCAAATTCGCCAACCTTTGCCGCAAATCCAACCGTATGGGTCTTGCAGAACGCTCTCTTCAATCACTGGAGACGGTTGTTTCTGACGGCAACGGCACCCGCGCTATTGCTCCTCCCGAAGTCACTTACGCTCGATTGAAGTTCAGCTGGGCGATGGGCCGCCAGCGCGACTCTCTAACAATGTTGAGAGAGTTCAATGCGAACTTGACGGAAGACTTTACGCGTTTCAATGCTTTCCTGTTATCGCAAACAGATCATGCGGTTAACGGTGTGAATGGCATCGTAGACGCGAATCATGCGGATATTGTTGGTCCCCGTGAACGAGTTGGTGATGTGAACAAACTCAGGCGACTGCTCGCGAAGAGCTATCTCAGACAAGGAGAATGGCAGACGGCCTTGCAACGCGGTGAGTGGAGGCCAGAACTTGATCGCGAGGTGTTGGATGCCTACTCTGCCGCAACCAAATACAACCGTGATTCGTACAAGGCGTGGCATTCCTGGGCACTGGCGAACTTTGAGGTTGTTACTACCATTGCTAGCCAGGCCAACCGGGAGGGACAGCCGCCCGTCATGGTTCCCCAGCATATTGTGACAGAGCATGTGATCCCTGCTATCCGTGGCTTCCTACGGTCCATCACGTTGTCATCGACGTCCTCGCTGCAGGACACCTTGCGATTGCTTACTCTTTGGTTTACCCACGGCGGCGACCAGGATGTCAACGGCGTCGTGACAGAAGGCTTCACGACTGTGAACATTGACACTTGGCTCGCGGTTACTCCGCAACTCATTGCGCGGATCAACCAGCCTAATTTCCGAGTCCGAAGTGCCGTCCATCGACTGCTGGCCGAAGTGGGAAAGACACACCCACAGGCGCTTGTATATCCATTGACGGTTGCCATGAAATCAAACGTTACCAGACGGTCTCAATCCGCCAGCAATATCATGGACAATATGCGGCAGCATAGCGCAAGACTGGTCGAGCAAGCCGATCTTATAAGCCACGAACTGATCCGGGTTGCCGTTTTGTGGCACGAGCTTTGGCACGAAGGCTTGGAAGAAGCTTCCCGTCTTTACTTTGGCGACCACAATGTGGAGGGAATGTTTGCGACCCTGGCGCCGCTGCATGACATGCTGGATCAGGGTGCTGAGACTCTGCGGGAGGTATCTTTCGCGCAGGCCTTTGGACGTGATCTTGCCGAGGCCAAACAATACTGTATGCTTTATCGCGAGACTGAGGAAATTGGTGATCTGAACCAGGCTTGGGATCTGTATTACACCGTGTTCCGGAAGATCAGCCGACAGCTGCCGCAGTTGTCCACTCTCGATTTGAAATATGTTTCGCCCAAGCTTAAGGATTGCTCGGATCTTGATCTGGCTGTTCCGGGAACCTATCAGAGCGGTAGGCCCATTATCCGGATCATCAGCTTCGACCCCATTCTACATGTCCTTCAGACCAAGAAGCGGCCAAGACGGATGACGCTGAAGGGCAGCGACGGAAGTTCTTACATGTATCTCCTTAAGGGACATGAAGATATCAGACAGGACGAGCGAGTTATGCAATTGTTTGGCCTTGTCAACACGTTGCTTGATAACGACGGTGAGAGTTTCAAGCGTCATCTCTCCATTCAGCAATTCCCGGCCATTCCGCTCTCGCAGAGTTCTGGTCTCCTGGGATGGGTGTCCAACAGTGACACGTTACATGCGCTCATCAAGGAATACCGAGAAAGTCGCCGCATCCTGCTTAACATTGAGCACCGGATCATGCTCCAGATGGCGCCTGACTACGACAATCTCACACTTATGCAAAAGGTCGAGGTCTTTGGATATGCCATGGACAATACGACCGGAAAGGATCTGTACCGCGTACTATGGCTCAAGAGTAGAAGCTCAGAAGCCTGGCTCGAGCGGCGGACGAACTACACGCGCTCGCTTGGTGTCATGTCCATGGTCGGTTATATTCTCGGACTGGGTGATCGTCACCCGTCTAACTTGCTTCTTGACCGGATTACGGGCAAGGTGGTTCACATTGATTTTGGTGACTGCTTCGAGGTTGCGATGCATCGGGAGAAGTATCCTGAGCGGGTGCCGTTCCGGTTGACTCGGATGTTGACGTTCGCTATGGAGGTCAGTAATATTGAGGGTAGTTATCGGATTACCTGTGAGGTAGTGATGCGTGTTCTGAGGGAGAACAAGGATTCGTTGATGGCTGTTTTGGAAGCTGTAAGTTCTTTTTTCTTTTATTTTTCCAGGTGTTCTGGAGCTAATGCACTATAGTTCATCCACGACCCCCTGATCAACTGGCGTCTGGGAGTCCGCGAAGAACCAGACCGAATACCATTTGCCGCCGAACGACGACAGTCCATGGTTGGCAATCTCAACACGGAACACGGCGTCCAGCCCAGCAACTACTCGCGTCAACGCCGGCCATCGATTCTCGAGGGCGGAATCCTAGATGCCCAAGAAGGCATCCCCAACGAAGCCCGGGAACTCCAGAACGCACGCGCATTGCAGGTTCTCGCCCGCGTCAAGGAGAAGTTGACCGGCCGTGATTTTAGGCTGTACGAGGAACTCAACGTGAGCGACCAGGTGGACAAATTGCTGGCGCAGTCGACGAATGTAGAGAATATCTGCCAGCACTGGATCGGGTGGTGCAGTTTCTGGTAATCGGTGGTTTCGAGGGGCTTCTTTTCTTCTTCTATTTCCCTCTGTCATTGGAGTGTTATGGCGCAGGATTGCAGGATGTGATACGACGTAATTTGTTTGCATGGCGCGGATGATCCGAATTTATGTGTTTCGTTCTACTTATGTAGCATTATTCTTTTCTTTTATTTTCAACAGACTGGTTTAATATTCCCTTTCCATGTACTGTTTTGTATGGTGTATGCTTCGGGCATGGTTTTACGTGCGAGTGTTAGGATGGTTGTTTGAGGAATACATGAATGCAATAGACATGAATTTCATGGATTTGTATAAGAATGTAAACGCGATCTAGCAACCATTCTCCTTATATCTATCAGCATTTCTTGTATCTCATTAAGCAAACAACATTAACGCTGCTATTGAAGGCATCGAATGGAGTTGCCGAGGTCGGATCACGGCGGTGAATTGTGCCACTTCATCTCACCATCTCTCCATCTCTCTTCCTTCTTCCTCACTCACTCAGTCTCTCTCTCTTTCTCAACTCACATTAATCCATCAAATGCCGCTCTAATCCACCCACCATGTCTGCAGACCCAGAAATCCCTCCAGTCGCCCGCGACGCCCTCCGTCTGTGCCTCACCGGCCGGGAGTACAAGATCCTGCACGACCACGTCGTCAAACGCGCGTCTGCAGCAGTTCTAACTTATGAATGTTAATGCTATGCTCTTCAAGGATTAGAGTTCTTTAAAATACTTCGATCAATCTTCAATTTCTCCTCGAGCGGGAGGTCGAAGAAGCGTTAGACGCAGCTCATCGTACGGCGCTGCAGCTCCCGGGAGATGCGGTGGCCGGTGATTTGGAAGAAGCCATTTTTCAAGCAACACTCCCGGACAATTTGTACTAGCTTGGTTTTCGCTTGACAGTCGCTACCGTAGAAGACAGAGAAGTCAAGAATTGGGGGCTCTTGTGGGTGGGCCATAGTGATGGGAGTAAGAAATGATGAGCATATACAGCAGGTAGGCGGAGGCTGTATTTATACAGGAAATGAAGCCATTGTACATTGGTTCGGCATAGTTAGTCCCTTGACACAACCTTTACTAAGCACCCTTTGCTTTTTCCTTCTCTCTGTTTGCTTTCTGTCTGTTTGCTTTCTGTCTGTTACACTATCACACCACAGGAAATATAGGATCAATCAAACTGCCACTTGTGAGTTATTGCTATAATGTCAACTTATCAGAGCGTCATCAAAATTGTCGCAGTCACTGGCGCCCTCTTTTTATCAGGTGTGTTCCTTCGCATACACCATCTGCCCAACACAGAATAATACTGATCTATCACAGGTGGTATTGCTGCCCATGGATCAGCTACAGTTCCGGCACTGCTCAAATCCATCTCAGAAGATGGCACCTCCTCTCACGCAATGCTTCAAGTCTGGCGGCGAGTGTATGAGCAAGGACACGCAAATAGCCCGAAGATTGCCGTTCTGACCACAGTCGCCTTCGCATACACGGCCTGGGGTGCCAATAGCCAGCAAACCTCGACACGAATACCGATACTGCTGTACAGCGCTGCCGCATCACTGGTCATGGGGATTGTTCCTTACACGCTCATCTTCATGGAGGACAGCAACCGCAAGCTATTAAAGAGAGCGGCAGAAGCCAAGCACTATTCGTCGTCTTCTGCGTCTGGTGAGAAACGCCCGGAAGACTTGATTGACCAAGAGTCGAACGAAAGACTTCTGAGACGTTGGAAGGCTTTGACATTGACTCGTGCCTTGCTGCCGATGACTGCGGGTGTTCTGGGATTACTGGCCATTACGCACTATGAATGAAATTTTCAAGCCTTGTGAGGCCGAGCTATGGTAGAAGAGCTTTGGTATATCAGAAGCGGTAGGAGTTGGGTTACCTGTGGTCTACATCTTGTAAGATATCCCACCACAATAAGAAACGCCGTTGGTATATTTTCTTTCAAGCAGACATAGTCAGAACAAACCATAGTTTCATGCTTCTTGGTATACCGCATTCCATAGTGTATAAATTCAGGCAAAGCTTACGTACGTCGCAATCTACAGGCCGGATACAGATGGTAGTGGGCATGAGGTGGGGCAAAGGTCGTGTCAAGCACGGAGTTAGATGAGATAGTCACTTGACGCAATTGCGCTTACACTCACTCACCCCACTATCGGAGCGAATGTCGATAGCAGCAAGACTGAAACTACTGGACGGAGTCTAATTTACAGGTGTGTATAGATAGTATTAATGCCTCCAGTAACGACCATTTTGATCGTCATATAACGTAATCGGTAAGCGAGTTACGCACCCAACCCCCATCTATAGTATTTAAATGCATTTATTCCAACCAAAACGCCAATTAATTAACAAAACTAGCTATTTAGGTCTATCTGGACATGCATTTCTCTTACGTTCTTTATTTCCACAGGTACCGCACTTCGGTAAAGCCCTCGTACGCGGCTGTAAAGGTAGTGAAGGCTGTCTTGGCTTGGGGGGTGCTGGTGCTTCAATTGCTGCTTCTGGCTGCACAAATAGCTCGTGAGCCTCTGGAGCTGAGAGACCACCTTCATGAGGTATTTGCCTTTTAGATCGAGTACGCTTTTGCTTCTGCTTCACATTCAAAGCACGTAAATCGCTTACTTCTTTCTCAAGAATAGCAGCTGATTGCATGCCAATTTGGCACGCTTTAAGAATCTGATTTATCGCGGTATTAAGCGGACTTGGTGGGCTTCTTGATCTCGTACGAAGCAATACTTTAATTGATGAGGGTTGCTTTTATAATTGCATGCAGTTCAAAGGCATTTTTGGCTCCCAATCACTATTCACTACCCTGGCTTCTGGGGGGTTGGCGTATGAAGCCGAACATTGAGCTTTGAAAGCACCCGCTCGGGGTCAAAAGGCACTAAACCAGCTGCTGCGAATCTATGTTCAATAGTCTCAGGTTTAAAAGCTTCGATTCGTGCGTATGGGTAGGCCTCAAGGAAGTCTAGTTTATCAATATGGTTGATGCCAAGACGCATTTTGGTTTCAACCAATCCACCATACAATCGCTTTAACACCGCAAAACAACCGATATCGAGCGGCTGTAAAAGATGTGATGAATGTGCTGGCATACAGATTGGAACAATATCATTTTGACTGCAAATTTCATCGAATTTCGGTGTCAAATGACCACCATGGCCATCAAGGATCAAAAGCCCGATATTTCCCTTTTGTACGAGCAATTATCGACGGAATAAAGAGATTTTGAAGCCACCAAAGCCCGATTTCATCAGAAGTCCATCCATTTGGGATAAGTTCAAAGCGTCAATCCCGTGGTAAGGTTGGGTCCTCAAACCAAGATTGGATGAAGACCTTGCCTTTGAAAATAATGCATGGAGTCAAGGCCCACCCTGAAGCACTTGTACATTTAATTGATGTGACCCATTCACGATTTCCAGGCTGTAAAACAGGTTGTCTGTGACAGTCTCGAGCAATATGAATCTATTGGTAGACTATCTGACGAAATACTAACATGGAGAAGGAAAGGAGAGAAGCCGGGCCTTTTATGTACAGATATAGCTTGTCCGTTGTTGCGTTCCGCCAGCTTTTTTTTTTTTTTGCTTTTGAAGTTGTCTCGCACACGTTTTTAAACATTCTCCCAGTTTCAACCAACTAGTCATGTAATCATTTTTAATTTTATATGGAGGGATTTGGTGAGAGATGTATCGCGTGAGAAACGCTCCAACTGTAAGAGAAAGGAACATCACTTCTTGACAATACATGATTTCCAATTGGACCTTCTGTATCCGCATAGATGGCAGTAGGAAAAGCTAACTGAGCTCTCTAGTTGCCACTGATTATCACAGCCAGAACAGCGATATGTCGTTAGACTGGAATTTGTAGACTTCTGAGAAATTGAGCGTTGAATAAGGTCAGCACTGAAGCCAACAGTCTCAAGGACCTGCACGAAGTCTTCGGTTTTTCGTAGGCAGTCAACATGTCATCCTTGGCCTCTGATTGTTCGACTCGCTTTCCTCTGTGTTGCTCTAGGCTCTAAGCATCGTGCGGGAAATGATCCGCTAAATTCTTGATAGAATTAGTTGGCCGAAAAAGGATAAAATGACGCTGGAGGCGGGTAATTCTGAGCAAAATTTATGATACAGTAGTTTTCAAAATCAGTTAACTATACCTCTGTACTCTCTTGAATTAAGTCGCGAACTCTAATCTGAAACACGCCAAACTACTCTCATCTCACCGCTCTAGAATCCCGGCAGAAATGTAACAGTAATGGCCATAACTACGGCAGTCGCGTGGAACTACGGAGAATCTTTCATGCGAACACCTCAAGCAACGTGGGAGTTCTGGCGATCTGGCAAGGTCGCCCCTCCCCGTACGCAGCCATCGTTTACGCCCGCCTATCATACCAGAAAGCTGTGTTTATTATGCTGTAGAGAGCTAACCCTGAAAGGCAAAGATACTTCTCTATATCCACGGCTTGTGTTATCTATCACAACTTTTATTCGTTCCCAGGCTCCATCCTAAGCCGGCTCTCCATAAGCTAACGTGGGCCTTCCCGGGGATTGTAACTGCGTTCTAGAGATGACTCAATGCCCGTATCACGACTACATATCTCGATCTGTGGAGCCTGAACCATGGGAACATAACTTGCAATCTGTAGACGGCGGTCAAGTTGAAGTTACGGTACGCGGCCTCTGGGATGGAGAGGTATTGAGCACTAACGTAGCAACAATGCTTGTCCTCATGCTCCGGTGGTTAGGCTGCAGAAGGTGAATCGAGTGCGGTCTGGCCCTTTGAAATGTTCAAGAAGTAAGAGGCCGGTGATTCAGGGAGTACATGGAAGCCAAGTTTGCATGGTATTCATAAAAATCAATCAATAACGCAGTAACATGGCCAGTGATCAGTCGTAGGGTCTTCAGACATAATCAGCTGATTGGTAAACTGCGATGAGAGTATTTGTAGTCAAGTGGTGTTTCTCAATTGACAGGAATATATTGGATAATGGCCTCTTGCTGGGTGGAAATCAAGTACTTTCCAAGCGTAAAAGCTTGCTGTCCAACCACAACAAACGAGGCCATTTATTTTCCCTTGAAGTCTTGGCAGTAATCCATGGAACATCTTCGAACTTTGTTTTTCTTTCGTTTTTTAGTTATTTGATTTTGCTGGCATCGCTGGGCTTAGAACAAGATAGATCTCGCCCATTGATACATGGACTCCACAAAGATTTTCATATACCATAGATTGGGCGTTGATATATGTACTAGAAATGCTTCTATATATATATGGTTGCCAATCCCTGGTTCCTTGGCAGTGGCTGTAATATACGTGCTGTGCCTCGTAGATGATCATCCGCAGCCTTGCTTACGTTTAATAGACAAAGGCCTGCTGTTTTCTTTGACGAAATTTTGTTTTCGAAACATATCATATAAATTATTTCGAAATATCGTCCTTTCAGGGAAAACACCAACAAGATTGAAAACCAAGTGCATACACAATGAAGCGAGCAAGCATATCTATTTCCCCATTCCCCAATCACCATCAACTTGGAAACAACCACCAGGAAACCATAACAGTCAAAGAGTGCGTGTCCCATCTGAAACTCCTCGCAGCAATTGCCAAACTGCGACACGACATCAGCACCAGCGACAGACTTTTCGGGATCAACGACAGCGAGGCTCGTGAATTTTCAGGAGAAAAGAGAAATCTCGCCAGGGCCAGGATCAGGGAGAAAAGATGGGCAGTTTATGTGTCTAAAGCGGTGGATAGATTTATGGCCTGGTGGGAGAGTTGTGTGCCTGTTAGTGAAGGGACGGCGGAGATTTCTTGGACGGTTGATACATTACCACCGCTTGGTGAGTCGTATTATCTCTGTCTGTATTGGTTTAAATGTCTAACTATATTCTAGATGTACTCATGGTATGGCATTCGTACATGCTTCACCCCCGATCCCTTCTCGCGGACTGCATGCGGTTATCCAAAATGGGATTCTGGACTTCAGGACTACCCTGGGAAGCTGTAGAATCATGCATCGAAGAGAAAACATACCGCTACTACCCAGGAAACAAGGCAATCTGGCACTTCGAGGCCCAAACCGGCCATTCATGGGATAACCTCGAAGGCCCTCCTTCAAAGATACTAACGTGTCTACGGTGCAAAGGAAAACTCGATGCGCCATGGACGACCGCTACGAGTATCGGTTGCGATCCCGATGTCGCCTTTGCCCATTGCACTGGATTCGCAGACAAGTCGTTCCGGGTTCAGTGTCCGGCGTGCAAGTTTAGTATCACGCATGCCAACCTTCAAGTATCTTATTTCCGGCACGATATGAAAGCTTTGTTAAAAGATGGGACTCCCATGCCAGGCACGCTGCTCAGCTTGCGTGGTACTCCTGCAGAAAAGAGTAACAGGGATAGTTCGTTCCCCAATCGGCTTATTACGAATGGCATCAAAGTTGAGCTGTTGCAACTAACAGACCCCGCGGAAAGAGGGGACAACAGCATTGAAAGTATCCGTAATCTATTAGAACGGTCGTTGAAAAACCGCCGCTTGCTGCGCCAGGTGAACGAGACGGTTCTACCCGCGGACCTCAGTAGCGCTGAGGGTATTTTTATCCGCCGGATGATGTCGAGTTACTGGGATAACGCATCACCGTTTTCGTTGGACTTAGTTGGGGCGGTTATCAGACAAGGGGCGTTCATCGAACAGATGGAGCAGCTGAACTGGATCCAGTCTCCAAGTCTCTTATCGACCTTGTCAAACCTTATTGCGAAATACGGGGTATTTTGGGACATCATGGTCAAAAACCCAGACCATGTTGTCGTCCCAACGTTGGATGTTGATCTCGCCTGGCATACTCATCAGCTATCACCAGCTCGCTACTACGCGTTCTCGACGAATCGAATCAAGAACACCTTGGTCGACCACGATGACAAGGTCGACGAGAACAAAATATCTGATGCCTTTGAATGGACGTCGAAGCAATATGAAAAGTTGACTGGTGGAAAGATCTACAGCGAATGTACCTGTTGGTACTGTGAAGCCATCCGAGAATCCCACTTTCAAAGCTTGTCGTCTCTCACGTCGATATCATCTTCCTTGACGGCACGGGCAAATGCTTCGAGCCTTAGTACTGATGTCCAAGGTGACACCAAACCTCATATTTCCTCCCACAATGCAGTCCACACTTTAGGCCAAGCCTCACCCCGTGCCTCAGAGATCAAAGCAGACAAGTTAAAAAAGAACTGGGAGAATGCAAGAAAACGGAACCAAAAAGCATCTCGCAGGCTGAGCAGAGAGCCGGCAAGTCAAGGGGTTGAAATCCCATCCCAGGTCCGCATTTGGGGTGTCCTCTGCGATGCACCACAATATGGCTCCTACATGCGTGACCCGGGGGTTCATGGGGACATCTACCCGTTTGATCCCTTATACATGAATGTGGCTCCAGGTGCGCCGGGGAACTGCGTTGCGGGGATAGGCCGAGAGAGCGTCGGGCGAGGTGGATGCGTGTCTGCGGCGACGAGGGATGAAGCGCCTGGGAAGCATCGCGGTGGCCGACCGGGCTTTTGTCAAGGCTTGGGTGGTATGGATTCAGGTGGAGGGGGGATGTTCTGAATATGCATGTCCGAACTCAAATAGGTTCTGATATAATTGTGTCAGGTACTCTAATTCCTAATACAAAAGATCCTATTAACAAAACATTACCCTGTCGAATTGGATTGAGATTTCCTAGTCCCATGGAGTTGGCAAGGTCTAACTCCAGCTTCTCAATCCCGCGAAGACCCCGGTAAACTCATGTGGACATACAGCTTCAATGCGAAGAGTAGTGTCTTGATTACTTTATTCCGGCCGTCTCGGAATCAAAACTTTTCTTGTATATTTAGATATGTAATATCCACTCATATAAACCTTCGCAATGCTTCCCTAGACTAATCACCGGCAAGCCGCTTCTTCTCTGCGCTAGTATTCGGGGGTTATGGTGTTGTGTTGTGGCCCTGCATCTGATGGCCTGGGATGGCCAGGATTCTGCGAGTTCTTTGAATGCCTGGAAGGTTTCTTGGCTTGAGCCTGCAGGTGAGCCCTGTAATTGGCGGGCTACTTCAAGGTTGGTCTAAGAGGATGTATAGCTTATGTGTGAATGTGGCTTGTGTGCTGGTGAGGACAGCTTTGAGTCCTTCTAGGGCGGCGGTGGCCTCAAGACTATTTGCCAGTGTTTGCAAGCATAGGCCGTTGACCGCCAGTCCTGGCCATTTTGTGCGACGGCACAATTTTCAAATTCTTCGTTTTCGATTCGGCAGGTCGGGAGGTCTGGACCTCGGGATGGGTTTCGTGAGGATCCTCAAGAGGTCTCAGACAGAGCACAATTCCTGCTCTCGCTGAAGGAAAGTAGAAGTCCCGCCTGTGGTGACTATACCCTACAAATACAGTGGTGAGATGATTATCAGCTCCTCAAGCCTTGTATGGAACTCAATTTGCATTATCCACGCGACAATAATGATTCACCAAGATATTCCACTCATCCGCGTTCCGAGTATAGAAACAAAGTAATATTAGATGCAGTTCTTATAATTTGGAGTTATATCAGGTGCTTTATAGATATACAGAAATGCAAGACACTACATTTTAAAGAAGAATAATATTGAGTTGAAATTCTTAGAACGAGAGGCTTCTTCTAGATTGAGGGAAGCTCTCAGCCCAATTTGCAGCTTTGTAACGGAAACCTGGGTATTTCTTCTATTCATTTGGAACATCATTATGGTAACTCTGGAGGCGAGGGTGATTTCTCGTCGACTTGTGGCTGCATCGGCGGTTTACCTTCAAGAAGATTTGCCGGAGGCCACCCCGGCTCTTGTAATCCATCTTCTTCAGCTGGATCTAGGTTCCTAGCACTGGAATTTTTTGGATCTCCTTTGATTTCAGTATCTAATTCATCTTCAACGACATACGGCTTTGCGGTAAGTTTATCACCTGGATCCTCGGTTTGAATGCCCTCGTCTGCGCCCGTTAACTTGGTGCTGTTGTGAATTTTGTTGTCTGATTCAATGGTACGCTGGCGAAAGGAACGAAGCGGATCGTATTTGGAAAGTATAATAGCAGCTTTCGATTGACGACGAGGATCAGTGGGCTTTGGAGCTTCTGGGATCTTGCTATGACGCATAGACCTCTCCCTGGAAGAACCAGCTTCAGCTTGCCTTCTGCTGTCGCGGGAGTCGAAATACTCCACGTCGGAGTTGGAACTCAGGTCACTGCTGAGGCTGATCGAAATTCGGCGCTGCCGCCTGGATACAAGTATGGCTTTCCTATCGACAATGGAAGAAACATCATGGGGAAGTCCTGATAAAAGACGAAAGGCCTCGCTTTCTGGTTTATCCTTATTCTGCCCCTTGTAGATGGCAAATGCCCGTCGCAGCATGACATAACACCACGGGGTGAGCCCTTCTTCAGCTCGACGTGAAATAGCTTGAGTAGGAGAGTCACCGAAATGGTATTCATTTAGCAAGGCCCCCAGTGATTCCGAGCTTCCCTTGTTTCCTAATAGATACGTTGACACGCGGGTTTGCTGGTATGCAATTGAGTTACCCTCTACTTCTTTTTGTCGTTGCATCAGCTGCTCGAACAATTCCTGCGGGTGTGAAGATCGACATATCAACTCCTGCAGGCATAGGATCTCGGTTCGGTAATCCCCATTTTCTTGAGCCGCGTGGAGTGCAATCTGGACAAGCTTGGTATACTGTGGATACGCATGCACCGCAGGCCAACCGGGATTCTCACAAGCGCTCGGGATGTACATCGGCAGCAGGCTTCTGTAGACCGTCACACCTGGAAATCGAGAAAGATGTCGCCGGAGCACGTCTCCTTCAAGTCGACGGCTATGCTCTGCTTCTGCTAAGATCCAGCGAATATATGGCCGTGACTTGACCAGGCCCGGGCTTTTTGCCTCGATAGTACTGGCAACTTGACGAGCCCATTGGAGGATGCGTCCGAATGCTGGCAAGCTTTTATCGTCCGAGGTCGGTTGCTTCGAGATGGGATATCCGGAAAATGCAACTAGAATTTCGAGCAGTGCCAAATAAGAGGATTCATCGTAGGCCCCCGAAGTCCAGTCCTCAATCAGCACCCGAAGGGAGGTATCATTGCCATAAGAGCTCAAGAAAACATTGAGCCATGCACCCTCAATGTCATAGTTTGTTAACTCCACGATCAAGTCTTTGAACTCCCAGAAGCGCTCTTGGGCAATCAAGGCCTTGGTGACCGGGTGGCTTCTCAACTGAACAAGGCGAAAAATTTGTTTCTTTCTTCGCTTTTCACTGTCACACACTGTCCATAACCTCAGCAGCCGATTCAAGATTTGGAGCTAGACATAGTAAGCAAGGAAATATGGGCCCAAATACACGGGACTCCTGTAAATACCTTTATGCAATCGATATCCCTTTCAGCAGCGAAGAGCTCGTCAGTTTTGGCAAGATAACGCCTGCGACTGATGCCTGGATACCCGCCGGAAAGCGTCTCTGCTAACGCTTCGTTCAGTGCGAATAGCACCTGATCGCTGTCACTGACTTTCCATTTGGCCAAATGCTGACTGTACTCGCGCATCAGGTCCAGGAAATCGCGATAATGGCCCTGATCATACAGCATGTCTGCATACTCGATGAGAACAGGGAAAGAGTATGCCGTATGCTCTGCCAACTCGCTTTGGAACATCTCCCAAGCAGCGCTAAATCGACCTAGTCGTTTCAACCGCGAGAACTCCTCCAGCTGGGCCTCGAGGTCCTCCTCGATATCCATCTCGAAATGCACTGTTGAATCTTTAACGACATGCGGACTCAGGACAAGCTGATATCCTCCGACCGGAAACACATGGTCAATCCTACTATTTTCTTTCCTGCTGTATTCTCGATAACTGTTCAAGTCTTTAGGACCGCCAACCGGAGGCTCATAGTCTCTGCGTACAACGACTTCATGGACTTGATCGTTGCGTTCAGAGTCTCGCAAACGATCCAAAAACGAGACGCCATGGTCAGCGCGACCACGTCCTCTCTGGGGCCCAAGCGGAGGCTCTGATTCCGCCACGATAGCAGGTGGCTGGTACTCACATTCCTGCTCCTGTTCCCGCTCTCGCGCCCATTCCCGATGATGGTCGCGGTTGGCCAGGTTCGGTCGACGACCACCCATCGAGGCGGACCTCTGTACACCACCAATCTCCTGGGCGACCGGGCTCAAACTGCGGTCGCGGGTGTTATTGTTGATATCCACCACGATTTGCGGGGGCTGGTCCCGCTCTCGCGCCGATTCCCGGTGATGGTCGCGGTGGTCACGGTTGGCCAGTTTGGGTCGACGGCCGCCCGTTGAGGCAGACCTCTGTAGACCACCAAGGTCCTGGACGACCGGGCTCAAGTAGGCGTGACTATAGTCGGGCTGGCGCTGACGGGACACAGAGCGTCTTCTGAATGACGTACGTCGACGCGGGGAACGGGCTTCAAAGGAGATGTCTGAGTCGGAGTAGTCCGTCTCGCTTTCGGGGACGATGGGGATAGTAGGATAGCGAGGCATTTTGATATCTTCTAATACTGCCTTCAAACTGGGTATATTTTGAAATGAAGAGAAGAAGGTAGAGATAAGTGATGACCTTGATAGACTCGGTGGCGGGTTATCTGAGTCAGGTATACAATGCACAAGGACAAACAAGCGTTAAAACAGGGGAAAAGATGGGATGAAAGAAAACGCGGTCAAGGGATATATAGCACAAAAAGAAAAGAAAAGACCACAAACACACTGGAAAACAGGTGACCAGCACGACTCGAGTCGTGCCAATGATGAAACACGGCAGAGGTAAAGAGTTAAAGACGAAAGAAAGAGTAGAAGAATCAGCGGGCAACGGGGAGGCTGGATGGTTCTAAACCCTTTTTACTACTATTCCATACCTTTATTTTGTTCTTTTTTATTTTCTACAAGCCAGTCAAAGCCAAAGGAACAACAGGGAGAAATGGACCGGCAGCAGTAGTCAGCCTTGCGATCAGCGGCAATGATTTGAAAAGGCATGATGCTCTTGAAAATATTCTCGAAGGAACACGCACGGGCTTACGAGTAATGCAGAAAATGGTGACAGAACGCCAAACTAGTCACTGTAATGGTGGCTGATGTTCTCTGTATTGTATTTCTGACCAAATCACTCACAAGGCTGATTTTTGAGGCTGATCACTCCAAACATTCATTCCTCATAAGAGAGTGCCGCCAGTTGATAGCCACTGCGAACCTTTTGCCAACAATAATAATGGAACCAGAATTTATATCTCAACAGACACGGCCGCGTTTCGCGCGGAAATATGGCCGTTCATACCAATATTTTGGACAGCTTTCCTCTGCGAGCTTGGGTTCCCGCCATATGGGAAAAGTCCGGGTGGATTGTCGATTCCGTCTGTCTGAATCCCAATGGGGCACAATAAATAAATCCAGCCCGGCCGGAATTCTATACGTCGACCTCAATTTCGACCAGCCTCAGGATTGTCGGCTCAAGTCTGCCGCCGTGCTGGTCACGCTGGAGAAGGAAGAGCCTCTTGACTCTGACACAAAACCCCAATCCCTCAACCATAACACACTCCAGCTGACCGACTACTATGGCCCGAAGCACATCAACGGTGAACCAACGGTTTTGCCCACGAAGCGAGTCTACCAATTTATGCCGGAAGCAAATGCCATGGGATGCAGTGGCGGTGGGGTTGGCATTCAGAACGAACAAACAACAAACGAGGTCAGGCGATGGGCATTCACCGGCCAATTGATGCCGGGCAAATCCCCGAGCAGCGCAGTCGCGTATCGTACGCTCAAGTGGGAGTTGACCGAAAACGAGCTCGATTCGCAATCATTTCACAGCAAGGTGATCCGGACGGGTTTTGCATTCGAGCATGATCGTGAAGTCTTTCGGATACGCGTTGAAATCAACGGCAAATTACAGAAGAGAACTCGTCAGCTGAAGGAAGCCTGGAAGGATAAGACCCGGCACTTCAGATTTCCCCCAGAAGCAAAACAGGATCAAGGGTCTGCAGTCACCCTCGTCGACGTTCGACAAACGAAACAGTTTAAGCGCCAACTTGATAGTCTGGCAATTGGTCTACCGGATGAGATGATCAAGCGAAACCAGCTCGACGTTCCTGTGGAGGTCCCGAATTCCATGCCATCTTTATTCCAGGAACTGCCTTCTGTTTTCAATCCGCCTCCGCCTGACTTCAAGTTACAGGCCCCAGATAACAATGGAAATAGTCATGCGCAAGTTAAGAGCACAGTATCTCCATCAGCACAAGACCTCATATCCGCATCACAGATAATTGGCACCCAGAACCAGCAAACCAGTTCCATCAGTCATCCTTCACCCTCGTCATCCGCAACGTTGGTAGCCGAAAGCAGTAGTGAAGGCGGCCAGAAAAGTCAAGCGAAACTTATTTCATCAGCAGCAGCACCAACAAAAACTGCAATTGCAACGAGCAACCAGCCTGTTGAACCAGACTCCCACCAACCGCCCTTATCACCTTTCCTGGTCATCCTTCGCATGCTTGAGGCGATGATTGTCGGTCTGATTCTGCGCCTGGAGCCATCTTCCCCGCAAAAGTTATTGGAGAATAATAGTGATCATAATAAGCAGACTGTGAGCACCTCATATCCCGATTTTCAGTTTGCTTCTCAGTCGCGGGAGAGACCAAAGGAAAGTCGATGATGTCTGTGGGGCGTACGTCACATTCGCATCTTTTGTCATGTTTGGAAGAGTGATTGTCGGACTCGAGTGTTTTGAAGCGAGGGCGATAGAGGCGGATAGCATCCGGCCAAAATGGCGAAACCCAGCAATACGCATAGAGACATGCTACAATCTCTCGTTATAGAGCTGCTCTGAGGCCGAGTGTGATGTGGATCGAAATCTCGTTCGCCCTCGAATCGATGTCTCCAGGACCAATTCTTCATTTTCTACTAAATTATTATTATTTAATCAAGTTTACTGTCCATATCGAGCCCTAAAGCTATGACAGACCATATTCCATGAACTCGAGGCTCGTAGCTGTTTTTGGCCTCTTGTCCCTATGAGTCCCCGAGGTAGCCCTCCTTCTATAATCTCTCTGATCCTTTTCCTCGCCCCAGACCGCCTGTATGCGCAGGGCTTTCGAGCAGAGTGCTCTCCTTGTATTTCGGAGCAGGGTGGGTGTGGCCTAATCCGAATCTCAGCTTAGGCTACCCTCCCTGCTACCCTTCTCCTCTTCTACTTGCCTCTTCCAACGCTTCCAGTCCCCATTCCTGGTCTTTCCGGGCTCTTTCCGCCGCCCGTTGTAGATGTCCCTGAGGTAGAGCTACGCTGGTGTTGGCTAAGAACTGTAGCAGCGCCCTGGTAGCTCTGGGCTCTCCTAAAAGTCGTCCTTGCGGGTGCTCCTCTGCAGCAGTGGGTCTCATAACCCCATCCATCTCCAGATCCTTGTAGAGCTTGTTTCGTTGTTGTCACCATTTCCGGCATTCAAAGAGAAGATGTTGTATTGTCTCCCTTGATAAGCCACAACCTTTACAGGTTGCATCTTCTTGGGCCTGGTTCCGGTGTAGCTGTGCTCCAATGGCTGCATGTCCTGCCTTCAGTTGAAAATAGCGGCTTGCCAGGTGCTTGGGAGCTGGCAATCTGAATTTGATGAAGAGAACATCTCACAAGTTGCCGACATACTCTGTCTGCACTGGATTGGTGACGGTTGACGAAAAGAGCAATATCATCCGGTGAGTCCATTATACAATTATACGACACAATAATATTTCGAGCGAACACGAAAAGATTGGTTTCTGAATGCAGAAACTGAGATTACGGAAAGTTGTGTATCTTACCTGTTATTTGATTCGTTTGAGAGCGGACCTTGTCAAACACGGGATGAACTTCAGGAACGGTTGAAGATAAATAATCTCTATGACTATTCCTCACATAACTGGGGACACCACGCTCTCGAGGCTTTAACTTTATCCTCAGGCGTCATGGGCTTTCTCGAACACGACATGAAGGTTGAGGCATTAAGCCAGGCACTGATGCGTAGCAACTACGCGTGATATTTGGGAATATACTAACGACAGGCCTTCACTTGGCAGCATACTTCGGGGTTGAAGGTGCAGTTAAAGCTATTCTTCACGAACGAGTCGCAACCGATGCAAAGAATGAATACGGCCAACCGCTATTAAGGGAAGCAAGGAATGGACACGAGGCAGTGGTCAAGCAGCCCCTCGAGAAGGGTGCTGACCTGGAGACTCCTACATTTCGACCATGGTCGGATGTGCGCAGCTCGATCGGGAATTACGTTAACTAAGTTAACTAACTAATGCATAATTATGTACGGAGTATGTAGTGGGTAGAAACAGAACATGCATAACCTCAGGGTTGTCTGTGCCATTATAATGATTACCATAGTTTGAGCTGCTCTAGATCTTGCAATATTACCCGAAGAACACGGCAAAGATAAGTGATAAGTTTTATATTACTTGGAGTCATTTTTCCTACATTTACTATGCTAAAGAAAAGGTTTATACATACGACCATAGGGTGTGGAGAACAGGGCTTCCCGTCCGCTCAGCCGTACTTAAGCCACACGCCGGCCGGTTAGTAGTTGGGTGGGTGACCACCAGCGAATCCCGGCTGTTGTATGTTTTTATTTTTTGTCTCACTGAGCAATACTTATTTTTACTGCTTCATGTGGTGCTATACGCTGGACCGAAATTATGCGTTCAAATTGGGGAAAACATCATGTTTTCTTGACGTTGAACTACCGTCTGATCATCGCAATCACCTTTCTCATCATCGACCTATGGCGGAGCTTTTACAGCTCTATGTTGACCTTGCATGTGTGCAAAATGCTATCATTCCATATCTAGGAAGCCAATCAATGGGACAAGCTGGAAGTATTCCATCGTCACTCCATTCATTAAAGGCACATCTGCTCCATATAATGGAGCACATCAATGAAAGAATCAATCAGGTATGCCAAATCAATTTCCCCGTTATCCAGTTGTTAACTGATAAGCAAGATTGTATCGCCTTCTTTGCTGTGGAAAGGTCTAGGTATCCAAACCGAGGTTGCCGCCCTCCAATTCGCATACCATTCAGTCATGACTGGTATTCTCTACTTATGCAAAGCCAACGACATTACCCGAACACCTTATCTCCAGTCCGCCCGCCAGGAACTATCGGCGTTAGTATCAATGTGTCTATCAGCGGAAAAGCAAAGTGTCGTTGCATTCTTACACTGGTAAGCCATCCCCACCATTAGGGGAAATCATATATTTAATAGGAATGATAGGACCATTCTATACTACTCCTTAACCGCATATTTCGTTCTCTTTTGCAACGTCGTCGCGACATCCAATCAAGACGATTACAACCTTCTGAAAACCATCGCAGATTGCCTCCGACAAAGCGGAACAGTGAGTAGGCCAATTTATCAACTCCAATCTCTTTCAAAGGTTCTTGTCGCTCTCTGCGGGTATTTTCAGTGAGAGGGATCAAGGCAAGATACAAACTATAGAACAACACCAAGGACATAGTCCACCTCGTCCAGTCCCACTGGGCACCAGCCCATTATAGATTCCCTGGAGTGACACCGATATTCCGTTTTTCCAGGCAATTTAGACTGGGGTGGAAGGTTATATGGATTCTTCTAATCTTCATGGGCATTTGCAGTGGCCGTATTTGGCGCTTGGTAACTTTGTTTTCCAGTTCTTTAGAGATGGGACTGATACTTAAGTGCGAGCTAATTGCCGTTCACTCGATGCATTGACATCCTATTGAGATGGCCCAGTTGGGTCAGACATATTATTTCTCTCCTGAGCTTGTTGATTCTACCTTCGTGTGCTTAAAGTGTGCCTGTTCTTTATACGTAATAATACAGACGGATAAGATGGTTTGCTCTCATCTATATATAACCGGGGACAGAATAAAGGTTTCTCAACGGGTAGTATTGATTCACATTGATCATTTTTACCACTCCTACTGCGAGCTTTTTTTTTTCCCATGACCATTCCTCTTACTACAACTGAAAGGCCAGGTGCAGATGGCCGCGCAAGAGTCTAGCTGCAGTAGAAGCACTTTCGCAAAGAAATGGCGGAAGATATGCTATTTGCACCCTCTAACTGCTTCATATTTCTAAGCAGCTACATCTTCCAAGCCCTATCCAACTCTGTCAGGCGCGGGTTGTCCATCATCGACGTATTCGAAGTCCTCACCACCGCGACCAATATCGGGCATGAAGAAGTGTTCTTTAGCACGAAAAAGCTTAACAGTAGGATTTATGCTGACTCTCTGTAATGAAACCGTTTATGAGCATCCGGAATCCTGAGACACTATAGAAGGTTGAGGGAATACTCACCTGTCCCAAATGATCAACCCCCACATAGTATAGTGGTATTTCCTTGTTGTTCGGGTTATCCTTGTTGTTCGGGTTATCCTTGTTGTTCGGGTTATCCTTGTTGTTCGGGTTATCCTTGTTGTTCGAGTTATCCTTGAGGTAACTCTGGGCTGCCAAGGTTGCGGGAATCTGGGCCACAGACTTGATGCCTTCTTTCTTTTGCTGGACACAGTTGGGGCAGCTACCTCCACCGTTCTGCTCGATGTTGGCACTGAAGTTATAGATACTTCCCACGAAGCTCTTAGACTCGGGACCTTGGAACTCATCGTCCTTCATGTCGCCAATGAAGATATTGATCTTGTACGGAGCGCCATTCAGAGCATATCTTTTCGTTCACCAAGGGAATCAGCATCGCAAAAAGAAACAATCAACCTTGAAAGATAGGACAAAAGTCACGTACCGGTCATATATAACGTTGACGACATATTCATAACCATTATACAATTGGAAATTGTCAAATGTGCTCCTCGTCTTACTCCCGTACAGATTTTCGATGTCGCTGCTGATCAACTCCACACTTCGATATTCATCGGGATTGTCGCCTTGGGTCATTTCATAGTCGAAGTTCAAGGTTCGCCAATCTTGGACATCGAACGAAGTGAAGGGCGTTCTGTTGGCGTCTTTGTGGAATGGAGTCAAAGGCTTTTTCAAAAGCTTTTTACTCTCATCATCGTCAAAGTACTTATCTGGATTTAGAACCTGCCAGATAGAAGTCAAGCGGTCGATATTACTGTCATGACGAATCAGACCCAGTAACCGGTGATGATATGATGTATGGGGTCTCACCAATGGTACACCCAGAAGATGGGGTCAAATGCTGCCATGAAGACACTACCCATGTGTCCTGCTCCCCAGAGCTTCATATCCTGTGTCCCAGGACGAACAAACATTGTTCCACCCACCCAATTCTGGAGTTGGTCAGTTGGAGCTAAGAGGTGCATGAAAAGATGGGCTTCCTTTCTAACTCACGTGGATATTGTTGTGAATGAATTCTAGCGACAGCCAATCCTTTGGCTTACCTTTTGGTAGCCCATTTGCGTACTTGGTGGTGGAAAAGGTAGCCCAGCTTGAGAAGTTGTACTTGAATAAACGGTAGGATAGCTCTTGCAGTGTCGGAACTGGCGTTGGTTTGTTTGCTTCCGGTGTCTTGTACCAAGCATGCTCGTTGAGGGCTAGGTTGGAGCGTAGCCAATTCTGCCCTCCATCAGCCCAGACAGACTCATCATAGCTATCCAAGATACCATATTTGGTAGTAGAGATACACTTGTCCCACTAAGTGAACGATTCCCGTGTCAGATAATGCGCCGTGAAAAAATAAGCAGGGGACCTCACAGGAAGTGTATATTCGTACACGTTATTGTGGTCATAGGTTTTCTCCCCAGTGATTCGGTATTCCGCCGGGTCCAATTGGCCCATAAGCTTCGGGGTAGTGTACTTGTAAAAGGGGTTGTCTCGGGCTTTGAGCTCGAGGTTGGAACCATCGGCAGTGGTCACATTAATGGTAACTTTGGGGAGCATAGCCAGGACGGGTAGTCTGAGCTCGCTAGGAACTTCATTTGGTTTGGGAATAGACGAAGGTTGGTCCGGGAACCTGGCAAAGTCCCAAAATGGAAGACGCCATTTTCCAGCTTCTTCCCTCCAGGTGGCCTTCTTTGCCTCAGGGACCTTGCCGGGGGTGTCGATGAACTTGATCATCGTTTCATAAATGGCTTGCTTTGAAATTTGTCAATGGATATTGCATCAACAAGAGTGACACGAGTATAATATTAAGAGCGAATTGATACCCACCTCGAAGATCGTCATGTAGACACGATGCCATGAGGGGAACGTATAGTCATTGTGGACACAGTATCCAGGAATCACATCATCATTCCCGTCTGGGTTGGGTTTCTTTGGGGCTGGCGCACCGTCCCAACTGACCCATGGGGCAGAATGGATGGCTGCCAGACGAAAGAAAGAGAGCTGGTCACTCAAAGGCGCCTTTTGAATTGTCTCCAGTGCCTCGATGAAAAGGGTAAGCTGGATGCGGTCCGCTCCCTGTTTGGTCTGCTCCTTATACCAGAGGTCGATGTCTTTGCGGACGTACGGACGACCCTTGGGATCTTTGGTTGGGATACCCGTGATAGGCTTGGAGGGGGGTTTGTCTGTCATGTTGATCGGTTTTGTGAAAACTAATTGGAATGATCAGAATCCTCGTTTGGCTGGAAGGACGTCTGGCTCAAAGAAACTCGGAGGGGCGAAGGACGAGGTATAAATAACTTAACCTCTATCATTCACCTTTTGACATTTCCACAAATTTCGACAGTAATCTATATCGAACATTCCGACAGAGGATTCGTATCGCGCTAAAGGGTGCTCAATCACACGACAAGCTGCAAGGAATCCCGAATGGAGAGTCTGATCTGCACTGCACAGCTTCTATTTCATTACTCCTCAAATCGTATTGGGGGTTGTAGTCGGCATATCAACGAATGACCTTGCAGCTTTGCCAAACCGCATTCATACTTTAGCATTACATAGGCCGTACAAGGGGGCCACAATGAGAAGACATTGGATGGTGGGAGACGGGGAGCTTCCGAACTCTCCATGTGAAAGAAACCACTCAAGATTCAAGGATGACAAATGGTAGAATGCCATCATGCCAGCACACATTCCCATCCAAGCGAGGTTATGGAGGAATATCATCCGATGTCGGGTGGGAAATCGCCGTAGCGAGACCTCTGCAAGTCGAGCCGTAGTTTCTAAACCCAGCACGTACGTCTTTTGCATTATGTCACGTTGCATGCTCTTCCGTCGTGTATTGAAAAGTCCATATTTTAACTATGGTAGTCAAAATAGCATAAGTAGCGATAGAAAATGAGCCGTTCTATCTCAAAGCATATGTATGTAGTGTGGCATGGTGTCCATTATATATTCCTATATACATCCAAGGCACTGATAGTGAGTCGATTTGAGAACATATATTGCGCTGGTTTGAGCAGAATAACAATTATGGGAGTAACAATCTGTCAGGTAGGTTGATCGAGCTTTCTATCTATCAACCTATCAAGAATAAGCCACCCCTTTCTGCAAGGGTATCTGCAGGATAATCTTGGTCACTGCAACTCACTACACTAGTAGTTGAAAAACCAGCCAATGGCATATAAGTGTATTCTCTTTGCAGAAGCACCTCATTGCTTCGTACGGTCTTGCCTGAAATGGTTGCTCCTACATGACACTGCCCATAGAGATAAGTGTAAGAGTGACCATTTCCGGTTATTCGATTTCGATATATATTTCGGCATTCCGAAAGACACTGACAACCACCCTAGTAGATACCACTAAATATGGACCAAATGTACTCTAACAACTGACTTCTTAATTCTATAAAGTATGCTCCATTTTGGCCTGCGAATGTAATATTCGGGCCAGGCCCTTCGATGAGGCATCAACACATCTTTGGGTGGATATGTTGCCAATAATAACATATGTTAAGAGGACTATCATTTCCAAATATATCCATATTGGGCAGGCAACGAGTGGAGAAGGAGATATACATGGATTACTTGTGAGCCATTCATTAACAGAAGAGAGATGTGAGTTGAATGGTTAAAACTATATGGCTTGTAGCGCGGGGCTAGGTATCTTTTCCACCCAAAGAGGGGTACGCAACCACCATTGGTGCATACGAGATATCTGATACATCACAGCTATACTATCATTAACGAAGACTGATTTGAGGTTACAATTATCAGACTTTACAGTTAAGGCATCCAATGAAGCATATAGAGAAGTACCACTAACTAGTTAGTGGATAATAGTCGCTTAATAAATGAGGGGTAGAAGTAGCCCGACGAGGTGTAGCTGAAAGATGCATAAACTCCACCATCCCATGCATGTCCATCATGTCACGTCGAGACTCGTAATCTCGTTCACGGTGCTTGAGAGTGTATTTCCAAATGGCCTGTTCTCTCGACACGCATCGGTCAAGGAGGGTGGTTTCCGCTATCTGTACATAGCTCTTTTTGGTATCCAAGGGGTGGAAGCGAGACGGCATCTAGAATAACATATTCAGCAGCTGCAGAAAACGCCACAGAAAATAAAGGTTTTGCATTCTCCCGATAAAACTGGTTCGTGATTTGTTAGGCTCTGGGATGTGGTGGTATAGGGAGCGTGTCTATCACGCCGAGGTAGATCAGGCGCTCTACATTCAGTCGCGGTAGAAGAGAGGTAGCAACATATAAGCCCATAGCAAAGTCCATTCATCTTAATTCTCAGTATCAGTAGTCGAAGCGACAATAGTCCCAATTATTTGGCTTGGAGTGAAACTGCGACTGACAATATGTCAATATGACACCCAAGAAATACGGAATCCTAATCGGGATCAATTACAGTGTCCGCCCGAAAACGTATTTGCAAAAATATTTTGAATCGTTATGTGGAGCCATCAACGATATTACCCAAGCGCAGGAATACATGGAAAGTCATCATTCATTCGAAAACTCCGAATCCTACCAAAGCTGTCGACACTTTGGTTCCGATGTATGCCTGATCCATCAGGCCGCAATGATCGCGCGGTTAGTTACATCCCAGCAGTCTGAGGGGCAGTATGCTTCTCAAACATCTCCTGAAGGAAAGGAATCTATCTACAGGAAGAAAAGGGTTTTATCTATGGGTTGTGTGGCTGCGCTAAGTGCTTTCTTTCTTTGTTCAGATGGCGGCGTTTGTCGATATCAGCCATCAGGGCATCAGGGCATTAGGGCAGCGTTGAGGCTCTGAGCCGTCACACGTGTAGATAATGAAAGCTGAGCAAGATGGCGTACATTTGATATTCATATAGACAGGCCGCGCTGGTCCATATTAAGGATCCATTTAGAAAGGGTTTCTTCAAGATTTGATAGTTTTCGACAATTTGCAGGCATTTCTCTGCGAGAGGTGGCACCATCAAGGCGGGTCATAAAGATCCTTTTAGGCACGTCGAAGGCCTTAGCACAGGCAGTTCTTGATGTAAATAAGCCTCTATGAAAGGCTTGAAGAGCTATTTCCATTCGCTCTTCCTTTGGTAGTTCAGTCATATTGAGTATGTTGATAAAAAGGCTTCATAAGTAGAGTATGATTGTTTAGGGGGGGGGGTGCTGCCGAATAGGCTCGTAGCGTCAATTTGCCAATAGGACGCCCTATTACCGAAACGCCTTCATATATCGTCAAGCTCAGAATCCCTTCTATTCGCAATCTGAAAATAGAATCGAGTTACACTCCAACCGAGGCTTCCGTGGGTTCCCCAAACCCTCGCAACAGAAACCAGAACCGGAGAATTTCTCATATACGGCGACCTAAGCGGGCTATGGTGGCCCCAGAATCTTCACAGGCCACTTGGAAATCGACTTAACTGAGATTCTCCCATATGGCAGCTACAAGATCAAGTAAAGCGGTCGACGCCAAAGCCGGGGAGGGAGATAGCTACTCGTCCTCGGTGAGAGCCAGGATGAAAGCTTCCACTCCCAACCTCGGCGTTTGCACACATGCGTTTCGACAAAACCAGACATTTTGTGCTCTAAAAAAAAAAGCTCAGGACCAACGAGGGTTGAGAGCAACGAAAAGAACCTTTCATTTAATTCAGTCAAGAATAATATGCACGTGTCCTTTCAGCAGCTTTTTATGATCTCAGCAATCTTCTCTCATGTTTGGGCAAGGCGAAAAACTTCGAAGACAAGCATGGGTCTTGCCACCAGGGAAAGTTCGAGGAAATGCTGTAACCCAACTTTAAGGGGATGATTCATGTATTGATATTGAAGGTAATTGGGATGAAGGTCCTCAAAAGTTCTACCTTAGCATGAGCGCCTCCGAGGCAATCCCCAGCTCCTTGCTAACTCTCTCTAGGCCTTCACTCTGCACATTGGCGTACCACTCATGAAGGTCGAATACTTTCGCACCAAGTGCTTCTTCTAGTCCATATTGATCTGAAGAAGAGAGTGCTAACTTTGGTGGTTCATTGGGTTTGTTACCCGATTGCAAGTTGGACTGGAAGATACCCGCAGCGGAAAATGGCAGGAAGTCTTCGTAGGTGATAGGGGAGGCCTCTACAACTCCATTGTCAATCAAGTGTTCGAGCAAAGAACCGTGTTTCAGATCCAGGCTTGACTTCTGGATGCCTTTCTTGGTACAGTGGAAATGACAATAGATGAGCCCTTGTTTCCAGAGCTCAGGCCAAGTGTCAGGGTATTCCTTGAATACTTCCGTGGCAATGGCATCGGCTTCATCAGCATTGGCACCAGCGGCTCTCTTCTGGCTTTCGTGCAATAGCCGGTCATAGAGGTACCGACCCTTGGGCGTAACTGCGGCACCTCGTTGCTCGATTTCGCCAAATCGGGCTTTGTGATTGGCCACGATCAACGCCCCTCGGGACTCCGAAACATTGATACCAATACCGCTATCCAAATCGCTTTGCCTGAATTGAACTGCCTCTTCAAGAGCAAGAAAGCTTGTCTGACGTAGCAAAATGGGGCATTTTCGAGGCGGGGGTCCCTCAATATGTGCTTTCACAGCCATGCCAGCTGCCTTCAAGGATGATTGCACGGCCGATATCTCCAAGGTCCGCGGCGTTAGGTGGTTGATATGAGCGCTCTGGAAGGATGCAATGTCCGCAAGGATAGGGTGCTCGGCTTTCAAGGTCTGATATTGATCGAACGTTGCCGCAGCCATACACTGCCAACTGAAAGTGGCCAGAGCCTGGGGAATGAAGGTTTTGGCTTGATCTTCTGTCAGCCACCCGCCCTGCGCCTCTGCGGTCACCAAAATGTCGAGTAGGTCATTGCTGAAGATCTTTCTTTTGTCGAGCAGTTCCAAAGCAAGCTGGCGTGCCTCCGCCGATGCAAGCAATTCCGGTCTTAGCAGGGTGGTGAATACCCGGAAGGGATTTTGGTCGAGACTTGAGACCGACGTGGGACGAAAGCACGTCGCATGCATCGGCAGACCGGCAATAGATAGATCGTAATATCCCACTGGCTGCAGTCCCAGGAGGCCAAAAATCCGTTTAACTGTCCGGAGCTCGAATGGGGTGCCTAGGCGGATAGCTCCGTGTCGCTCTAGGGTCAGCCTCTCTGAGCTGGTAATTATTGCAGACGCATCATTTCCTTGGCCGTTTCGAGTGCAATTTTGGAAGGCCTGTGCATTGACGTCGCGCACAATATCAATCAGGTCTCCGTACAACGGCACCTCTGCACGATACATGGAAGACATGGCCGTGGCAAATCGAGCTCGCAGTAAGTCGCGGTCAACAAACATTGGGGCATGCTGGGCAGTTGTCGTCGAACCCATTATGTTCCAATGTTAATATCGGGGTTCGGCTGATATCCCGTAGCGATAGTCGGAGGTCTTGGGATCAGAGAAATCCAACTCGTTCCCAGAGACGTAGTTATACCCATAATGACACAGTCTAGAGTATCCAATCAAGCCGAGAGCATCAATGCTACCGAAACTCTTCCGAGATACGAGCTCACCCATTGATGCAATGGAACGACAAGGAGTGGCGCGACTCCGGCGATATGGGTGGTGCTCCGACGGCCGGCTGGACTTCGGCCGGACGGGTCAGCCACGCCACGGCGCAGCAAAGGGAAGGGGTAAATACATAGTGGATAATGCAGCAAAGGGCTTTGGAGAACCAAAAAAAAAAAAAAAAAGAAAAGAAAAGAAAAGAAAATCACCTTCGAGGCGTCGGTTCCTGCCCAGGTGGTCCCGAGGTCATCTCGCTTTGTAGACGGTACCTGGGTAGATGTCGTTGGTCCCTCGCTCATCCAACGAATACTGTGCTAGATGCAGAGACATGTGAGCGGTAGTGCTGATAACACATTAGCTCCGTTAGAGTTAGGGAAAGAAGATGACAACAGCCTTAACGGTTTCAATTGATTGTTCGGTTGATTAGTGTAGAATACATGGGAATAGGGAGAAAAAACTATGCAACAAAGAAAGTAATAGGTTACATATAGGCGCTTGGCCAAACAGACATAGTATGCCTGAAGCATATGCATGTCTACAAGACATACGTCTCGGAACCTTGAGGTAGACATCCAACTGCATATATACCTAGATACATTGTTTTCCACCAAGCTGTTGCTTTGATGGGAAACTGTCTGGAGCACCGAGTCTGAGCCAATGAATTATATAGCCGTGAGCCAGCTAGTCCTCTGTGAATATACGTATAGTTCTAAGTAACATGTATTAGGGTGGCTGTCTCTAATCCAGCCCATAATCGAAAGCAGACTCTTAGAGAGCGTCGAAGCGATCCTGGGCCTCGAGGACGGCCTGGGGAGCCTTCCCGACCAAGGACTCATAAATTTGTGGATCGCTGGCGCCCTCCAAGCCGAATAGCACGACTTGACTGGGGCTGTTCAGACCAAGCTTCTCGCGCAATGATGGATCCGCACTTGATCCCAATATAACTCCCATGCTGGCCGCCGAAGACTCGCCGCATACTACGGGAGTATCACCCTCTGCTCCGTCGGCCAATGCCTTCATACCGTCCACGGCTATGGAGTCAGGGACGGCCACATAATCGCTCGCAAGCCAGGTGAGAACTTTCAAAGCCACAGGAGACGGCGCACGACAGGCCAGACCAGCCATGAGTGTGCGCAAGGATCCTCCAGACTGGCGAGCCTCCCCGTGTTTCGCACTCTGTAAGAGGCAGTCCGCCTCGGATGGCTCCACAACAACGAAGCGAGGTAGGCTTATTGTGGAACCGGTCGCGGAGGACTGTTGAATTTCATGGAAATGGTTGTAGAATCCCTGAAAGATGGCTGCTGCAATGCTTCCTACACAGCCGCACACGAAGACGTGTGTGATTTTGTCCACCGTGGGGATTATACTCAGCGCCTTGTCTAAGACGACCATGTATGCGTTCATGACGTGTTGAGGGACATCGTTGTCAAAGTCGGACCAAGAGGTACTACTGACAAAGTACCACCCGTTCATTCGGGCATCTTTCTTGGCGCGTGCCACGGATGCTTCGTATTCTCCATCGATACGGATGACGATGGCCCCAAGCTCCTTCATCCGGTCGGCACGGCCATCACTGACATGGCCATGGATATAGACAACACAGCGGCAGCCGAAGACTTGAGCTCCGTAGGCAAGACCGCGGCCCTGGTTACCGTCCGTGGCAACGCTCACGGTGACTCGCTAGGTGATGTCGCGGTATTTCAAAAGGCGAAGCTCAGCTGATGAAGGGCACACTCCTATCTTCGAATAAACCTCATCTGCCAGAATCTTGTAGACGGCGTAAGGCGCGCCCAGTGCTTTGAAGGAGCCCATGTCGAAGCCAAAACGCTTGCTTTCATCTTTCATGAACAGCTTGTCGATACCCACTTTCTGGGCGAGGCCGGGAAGAATGCGCAGCGGCCGAGGACTATATTCAGCCCAGATTCGAAGTCTGGTTCATTATTTTCTTGTCGCACCGAATCCACAGAGCCAAATCCGCAGAAAGATGCATGTGGCGGGTGGATTTCTTTGCTGCTCCCATCGAACTCAAAAAGGTTGTTCGGCAGAAAACGTTGACGCCGAGACCCGCTCCGGCCTCACAGAACTACCTGACCATGAGTCACCGGGAGTGTAGCATAACCGCCCCGCAGCCTTATTTAAGACTCATTTGTTCAAAAGTTCCATCACCCGTGGCAGGTTTCAATAACAACTCCAGTAAAATGGCCTCACAGTCGAAAATCCTCCCCCAATTGACTTCCTCCAAGCTCTTTCTCACCGAAGCCGGAATCGAAACCACTCTCGTCTACAAAAAGAATATCCATCTCCCCTGCTTCTCTACTCTCCCGCTCCTCAGCACCGAAGAGGGAACGCAAACTCTCCTCTCCATCTACCAAGAATATGTCAATATCGCTCTCGCTCATTCAACCGGCATCGTACTCGAAACCCGAACATGGCGAGGCTCTCCCTCATGGTCCTCCAAACTCCACCTCTCCATCCAGCAGGTTCTCGATCTGAACCGCGCAGCAGTCAAGGTTCTCCATGACCTCCGTCGCAAAGTCGAAACTGCATCTACTCCTATTGTTATCAGTGGGACCCTTGGAACTATTCAAGATGCTTACGAGGATTCTACGGAAACGGTTTCCTTCTCCCAGGCACAGGAAAACTACCGCTCTCAAGTCCATGTCCTCGCCGAAGAAGGCATAGACATGTTGTCCATGATGACTGTAACTAATCTCAACGAGGCCATTGCAGCAGTGAGTGTGGCGCGAGAGTTTAATCTCCCGATTCACGTCTCGTTTAGCCTCGAGACAGACGGACGGCTGCAAGGAGGAAGAACCCTTGATGATGTGATTCGTGAAGTGGATCGTGTGACGGAAAATTATACAACGTATTTCGGGGTGAATTGCGCGCATCCACATCATATTATGACAGCGTTACGGGGTGTCTCTGAGGATGTGAGGTCGAGGATTGGGTCGATTCGAGGGAATGCAAGCCTTAAGAGCCACGAACAGCTTGATAACACGCTGGTCCTAGATCGAGGCGATGTTTCAGTTTATGTTCGGGAATTTAATGGGCTGTTAAATATGTTGCCAGAACTGAAAGTGGTAGGGGGTTGTTGTGGCACAGATGAAGAGCATATTGACACTCTTGCAAGAAGAGTTTATTCTTTTGGTTGTTAAAAGCCAGTCAAACAAGCATACTGCTTTGCTGACCAAAATATTAAAACCCTCATCCCAGTGTTAGTGTTCAAGAATCATCCTCGGCTACTTTTTTCCTTTTTCCCGATAGTTTCATGTTTCTACTAGTATATCCTGTCAAATATCGGTAACTTCATTGCACGTCATTTCTGCTTGTCGCTTCCCCCCACCCCCCAAAAAAAAAAAAAAAATAGAATCAATGCTTGACGACGTCCTCTTGTCGCCACAACTACCTCTTCGGCATGACAAGAAACCAGGTGGGTGGTTCAATAATGAGGCGCGTAGATGGGTTGCAAGTAACATGGTAGACACACCAATGACACCATCCAGCCGTATACCATCTAGGGGTATACCGTCCAGGAAGAAATTATAAAGGACACGCCACGCCATTCATTTGCTTGGTTACTTTTCACGATCAAATTCGCTCTCATTAGGGTTTAGTTTATTCCCAGAAGGTGTTTAGTAGAGACCGCATCTGCAAGCAATGGGAACGAAAATGGAAAACCTCCACGAAGGGGAGCCACCTCCGGAAGATTGACAGCAAGCTGCCCGTCACCCATATCAGACAATTGTATGTTTCGTTGCCGCGAAACCGAGCGTACCTGCTACCCACGCGAAGACACTCCGGTTCCGCGATGACGATAAGTGTTGGTGTGAAGGCCAGGAAACGGTGCTCCATGTTCTGGTGGACTGTCCGCTCCTGGAGAAAGCCAGAGGAGGCTTTTGGTGATCCTCCACTTCTACTAGGTGAACAGAGAGGAAAAAGAAAGAGTAAATGAAATAAAAACAACTACAGTACTACTACTAGTAGTTACTTCCCATCCGCGCCGTTGGGTGTCGGACCATGGCTACGGCTACCAGAAAACCAAAGGAATTTCTATGCATTCTTCCTGATAAGCCTAATGCTCTTGATATTAGGCAGAAAGTCAGGCCGTGAGTCCTTGTGAGTTGCGTTTTATTGATCTCTGATCTAATCTTTAACAGTATCCATTACGAAGGAATAAAGCCTCTTGTTGAAACAGGAAGATTGGTTGCTGGTGGTATGTTCCTCACTTCTTACGGTATACAAGTATCTTGAAGCTAAATGGTCAAGGCGCCATGCTTGAAAAACACCCCGCAGAAGGCGAAGATGCGCTGTTCAAAGGTAGCATGATTGTCTATACAGGAGAAAGTGTTGAGGATATCCGCGAGGCAATCAATGGTGACATTTACGCTAAAAGTAGTGTCTGGGATCTGGAGAAAGTCCAAATCATTCCTGTAAGTGTTTCCCCCGGTGCTGAGTGATGGAAATTTGCTAATTATTTGTTAAGTATGTTTCAGCAGTGCGCAAGCCCATGCCTTGAGAACAACGCTACATGTACATAGTCTAAAAGCTATACAACAGCAATAAAGTCAACCTGAATATCCACTCCGGCAGGAAGTTTAGACACCTCCGCCATGGACTGAGCAGGCTTATGAGGGAAGACTGGGTCGTACACTTTGGAGAATTCCGGCATGATGCTCGCGTCTTTGATATACACCTAGGAATCAATGCGTGTTGGCTATGGGGTCCATACATAGAGAGTGAAGGCTACTCACCACAACCTTAACAACTCTGTCCAGGCTAGATCTGGCTTCCTTGAGAATCGCTTCTGTATTTCTGATGATAGCTTGCGTCTTCTCTGTCACAGACCCGGTGATAAGATTGCCCTGCGAATCCGCGGGGATCTGGCCAGAGAGCCAGGCATGGCCGGCAGCTTTGATGGCTTGAGACTGTTGTATATCAGCACCCAATTCTAATTTTGCACATATGTTCCACGAAACATATGTAGTGTGCAAAGGCTATATGGATGTCTCTATCAGCAAATAAAGCCCGATTCACCAAGTCAATACATGTACTCACGGCGATGCGTCTTATCCGTATACACGGAAGTCACGGTAGACTTCTCTCATCGGCTGTTGGGATACCATGCTGGAACGAGGCTCGACGCTTCGAGATAGTTTTTGCAAGCGTTGAGTAACGATGATAAAGCCGCGCAATGCCTGCCGGAACATTTTTTGCAGCGAGGATTCTGAGGGACTACTAAGATGAATCCAAACGAGAGCGATATTATAATGATTGATCGGTGGATTGATTGATAAGATCTCGGATCGCAGCACCGACATTTATGTAGACCAAGATTTAACCAATCACGCGATGTTGGTTAATCGACTCGGATCCACAGTCGGAGGAGGGCCCCAATGGTTGGTCAACAGCCGAAAAGTCTTATACATATCGCTATTATTAATTCAAATCAACCATCAACCATTTAATTGTTTAAAAGATAAGGGATTTCTTTAGAGACTTATTCTCAAAATCGTTATTGGCAAAGGTAGCCCATTGAATCATGGCGATGAGTGTGAAGACTGTTGGGCGACTTGTATCTCAAGAGGTTTGCATTGTCCCTTAAGCGATTCCGGAATTGTCTGCTAACTGTAGTTTACAGATCTACATTATCTTCAAGCTTTATTCAAACTGAGAGGATACCTTTTAGAAGCCTCCGAATGAGCTCCAGCGCAGCTGCCGCAGCTGCAGCAACGCCCAAAGAAGACACCGTCTCTGCAGCCAAAGCCAACTACAAGATCGTCGCGGACGTGGGCGACTTCAATAAGACACAGTCCCAACGCCCCAAATTCTACCACAGCAAACCCATTGAAGTCACCCAATCTCCAAACCCAAACTGGGAGTACGGACAAGGCGTGCCTGATGATGGCGCAAGCGCTGGCAAAAAAAAAAAAACACCGCGAAATTGACCCCTATGCACCTGAAAGGCCAATGGTTAGTAACTATCAACTACTGGTTTCGGGAATCACGCCTCGTCCGATTGAGTTCCTGAGCACTGTATCTGGTAGTGATGATGATGGGAAATTCACAAAGAACCTTTCACCGTTCAGTTACTTCCAAGTCATCGATCACGACCCGCCAATGTTTATCATTGGATTCTCATCCCACCCAGAGCGCGTCAAGAATACATTCCACAACCTGAAGGAAACCAGTGAGGTAGTGATCAACACCATTTCAGAGAACATGATCGAGGCCGTCAACGCTACCTCCATCGATGCTCCATACGGCGTCTCTGAATGGGAGGTATCCGGTCTCCATGAAGCCCCGACAAAAACCGTCAAACCATCCCGTGTACAGGAATCAGTTTTCTCAACTGAAGGAAAAGTGGTTGATATTAAAGAGTTCGAGGACCATGTACAGCCTGGTATGAGTATTGCCTCGCTGGTGCTTGTCAAGGCTACGCGGTTTTGGGTCCAGGAGGATGCTGTGAATGCAGAGTTGAGTCATCTTGATTTGAACAAGTCGCGGCCGTTGGGGCAGCTCGGTGGGATTTCGTATGGGCGTGTTACATCGACTTTCGAGCAGCTAAGGAGGAGATGGAACGAGGAGTATCCTAAGAGAGGTATTGAGTCGGTTGGAAGAGTCGAAACCAAGGACTGAATAAGTTCCTGTTTATACATTTGCATTGTGAATATCGTTGATTACATCTCAAATAAAGCACTTTGTTAACAATTCATGTCACTGAACCTGGGAGTCCAACGCCGCATCAATGCCAATATCAACAAACGCCGCCGTCCGGACAAGGAAACGAAGAAGTGTTAGCGCGGCCGCACGGCCCACAGACAAAACTCTTCTTGTTCCCGTAGACAGACTCAGTATTCTCGTCGATGGCTACAATAGTCTAGATAGGAACTTCGTTCATTAGTATCTACTATTCCAAGCCCGTGACAGATACTGCCATCATTTTATGTCAATAGCGACTCATTTTGTGCTTATGCCTATACTCTGTACCCGCTGGTAATCAATGGACGAAGCTATGCACAGACATACTCAAAACACTAAAAAACAAGCCTAGAGGTCCCAAATTCTCAAGACTCCATCCATATCGGGGACAACAACAAATTTTGAATCCCTTGAGCAAACCATCTCCGAAATAGGACATTTGTCTATCTTACCCCCCACCCCCCTTGTAAATTGCCGCTTGAGATTGCTTTCAAAATCATACGCCTCCACGGTTCCCTCTCTAATCTGAAACACCAACTTCCGGCCACCATCCACAAACTGCACTGCTCGAGTGGTAGCAAAGCGACGCATCAGGAGATCATCAAATGCTAGACACCATCGCATCCGCTCCTCTCCCGTGTATGGATCCCAGATGCAAAGCGTTCCTTCATCAGCCTCGTTGGCTAGCATGGTCCCATCATGACTCCAGGACAGAGAACGTGCCGAGCGATGCAATCCATCAAAGCGAGACACTGGTTGCTCCGTGGCGATGTCGTAGACGTGGACATGGGTCTTTGGATTCCCTTGGTTAATGGCAAGGTACTTTTGATCCGGAGAGAAGGCTCCGCTCCAGAGCTGGCCGCCAAAAGGCCCCAAGACGTGAAGACAGGACCCAGAACTGGCATCCCAGACCCGTGTTGTGCGATCCCATGCGACGGATGCGACCAGCTTGTTATCTGGGCTCATGGCAGCCCACGTTATAGAGTCCGTGTGGCCCAGCAGTTTGTGTCGAAAGGACCTAGTCTCGATATTCCACAGATTGACACAGGGAAGGGACGCAGCTTCACGTGTTTCGTCTTGGGTTGTTTCGTTCTGGCTAATAAAGATCATCGTTTTGCCGTCAGGACTGAACGAGCCTAGTTCGCCCTCGAAGCAGAGTCTGTGTTCTTGCTCATGTATTGTCTTGGCTGCGAGTTTCCCCTGCTCGTCCAGCTCCCACAGAATAACCATGGTCTTCTCACCACCACCTTGTGACGCTAAAACATAGCGGGTGTCTTTGCCATTGCTGTTCTCAACAAAACCTGGCGCAAACTTAACAGTCTCAATCAGCTCTCCATCTGTCAGCACTTCGAGACGCTCCTGCGTAGCAACATCAAAGACGTGTAATTCTTCATCGACCCCAACTGCAACAAACCTATCATCAGGACTAAGAGTGGGCGTTGTTGCTGTTCCATCCAGCCGAATCTTCGCTCTCTCTTGACCCCATTGTTTCGGATGGTCTGGAGCCCAGGCTGCAGGCTTTCCAGAGGGAGAAGTGAAATCACGCTCAAGGGTGTAGGTAAAATCTTCCACGAATTTTCTTCCGTTCATTGACATGGACATTTGTATGGTTTGTACTGTATCTGCTCTGACGCATCGCTTTTTGGAATTTCAGCGTGGCTGAGCCAAAATGGTAAGCCGACAGTGATATGTTCGCGCGCTTTGACCCTGCGAATAATTGACATGCATGACAGAGAAATGCTAGCAGTAACGTGTACACTTGAGAGAGGTTGTAGGTCGGAGCGCTCACGCTGGCCTATATCATCGGACCGGCGAAACTAATCGGTCCGACATTATTCCTTATCAGTTTCTTTGTGAAACGGATAAACCAATGTAGCGGTTAAAAGTCCGTATCGGGGAAGTCGGGGGAGTCGATTATCCGGACTGCACGAGGCTGTAAGCGACAAATTTAATTACACTAAGGAGGATAACATTGATCTCTATAGACACCAAGATGATAGAATGAGTGCTTGGCTATCTAAACCGAGTGTGTGTGTGTGTGTGTGTCCGTATATGAGGGGTCTGTCGGCCTCGGTAATCGGACCAACTATTAATCCACCTTGACTTTCATCAATAGTGAAGCGGGCTAAACGAGGTCTATATGGAGATAACCAGTTTTAACGAAGAGGTATATTGCCTAACGAACGTACTGCGCATACGCAGCTGATTAAGTGCTTGTCTATCTGAAATGTGCGTACTCCGTACACGCTGGTCTATATCACCGGACCGGCGGAACTTGCCTAATCGGTCCGACATTATTCCTTATCAAATAGCGAAGTGGATGTTGCTCCAAGGGGAATATCGGGAGTCGATAGTACAGCCTAGTCAGGCCAATATATGAGAGTAGGATTAGAGTATTATATCCATTCAGAGTATACATTGTATATTGACAGTCGTACTATCACGAGTGCTTGAGGCCGAGTGCTTGACTCTTCTAACTAACAAATGTGTGCTGGCCTTCGGCACCTCGCTGGTCTCGGTCCGACCATTATTCCGCATTAGCAACCACATATTAAGCAAAGCCCCCTGATGTGAGGCTGAGCTAGTTAGCTGATCTAATTTAGCTAACTACAATAGTTAGTTAACTAACCTAAGTTAACTGGTTAACTAACTAACTAACTAGTTAGTTATATTGTTAACTAATTAACTAACTATTTTAACTTGGATCAGCCACGTAAGCAAAAATTGCCAAATACTCGTGCAGATAGATCATAGGTCATTCTGTCTCTCATCTCTCAATTGATCATTACCTTATTATGGCAGTCAGCAATCTCCGATCCTCAGAAATTGAGCCTGAACCTATTGCAGCGGCTGTTCCGCTACAAGGATACAGCATCGAAGCTGAGTCCGAATCTTTTGACACCGATTCTGCGATGGATGACGACGACTCTTTATCCTTGACTACTTCCATTTCATCGAGTATAATAGACTATGTATACGAGAATGGCCGCCGTTACCATAGCTTTCGAGAAGGCGAATATCTTTTCCCCAATGACGAAGACGAACAAGATCGCCTAGACATGGTTCATCATATCTTCCGCCTGATGCTAGGTGGAAGTCTCTACAAAGCCCCAGTCTCCAACTCATCGCAACGCATTCTGGACATTGGGACTGGCACTGGTATCTATGCTATACAGATCGCCGATGAATTCCCCTGCTCGGATGTTCTTGGAATCGACTTGAGTCCGATTCAGCCTGGATGGTATAACGTGGACTGTGTTCTTAGCTGTTCTTGACAGAAGACTGATCGTTCAACCTGCAGGGTCTCGCCCAATTGCAGATTCATCGTCGACGATATTGAGGCTGAGTGGCCATATCCTGAGGACGGAGCATTTGATTACATTCACCAGCGAAACATGGTCGGAAGTATCGCAGACTGGGATAGACTTTTTCAGCAAGCATTCAGACATACCAAACCAGGCGGTTATATTGAACTTCAAGAGTTCCGGGTCTGGTTCCATTCACAGGACGACGAGCTGCCTGAGGATTCCAATATCCAAATATGGCAACGCGCTCTGCTTGATGGCACGGTTTCCTTTGGTAAACCAATCAATATAATCGAGAAGTTGGCAGACAAGGTGAAGGATGCTGGGTTTGTGGGAGTGCAGGAGGATGTGTTGAAGATCCCTATTGGTTCTTGGCCAAAAGACAAGAAACTCAAAGAGATTGGCCGGTATATGCAGGTGCATGCAATGGAATCAGTTGAGCCATTGACCTTGGCTCTGTTTACTCGCATTTTAGGTTGGAGTGAGTTAGAATGTCGTGTGCTCATTGCAAAGACTCGTGAGGAATTCAAGACTACGAGAAGGCAACTCTATGTGTACGCGCATTTCATATATGGTCAGAAATCTGACGATCAAAAGAAGCATGGTACACAGCATTCTTGAAGTTCTTAGGTAGATATGCCAACTGGGTTCTCAATAAAGCCAATCTACGAAAACTGTGATAATAATAATAATAATAATAATTCAAACAAAAAAAAAAAAAAAAAAAAAACATACAACAGCCGGGATTCGCTGGTGGTCACCCACCCAACTACTAACCGGCCGGCGTGTGGCTTAAGTACGGCTGAGCGGACGGGAAGCCCTGTTCTCCACACCCTATGGTCGTATGTGTTTTTTTTTTAAGTTAAAAAAATATGTTTGGGGTTTTTAGGGTAAGTTAGAGGGTGAGCTGCTTTTTGGTCGCGTGACCAGGGGTTAGCCTGGGTGAGTGCACAAGAAAAAGGGTGCGCCATCACCCTGCATCGCGCAATGTGGGTATATTTTGAAGTGGGGCGCTAGCTCAGAACCGGCGTAGGGAGTCGATTGTCAGAGACCGCATAAGGCCACCATATGGGAATAGAATTAGAGGATAGAGATCAATTCAACAAATATAATTATGCGTATATACTTGACTATCGTCCAATATTGTTCCGGACAAATAAACAGTAACCCCCAGCGGAGCCAATATCTATACACCGTCCCGGGTAGCTGGTCAGTGGTTCCGAGGGGTGGACTTCATCACACCTACACTTCAGGAGCATTCGGAGCTGCGTCTTCCAGCTTCCCTGAATGGTGGGAGATACAGTCCTCATGACTCGCTCCAGGGAGGAAATAAACGTCAAACCGGATATCAAAGTCACAGTCCTGATATCTGGTTGAAAGCTCCCAGTGTAAGCCCTCCATGTCTGTATGCTCCGGGGATGAATTCACTTGCGTAAAATAGATGGCAAAGGAGAAAAGTGACGGCAGTATATAGGCATCGGAATTTATAAAGACCATATATGCGGTTTCCCTGGTGTGAACTGTGAAGAGGACACGATGAACCCTCATTTTCCATCGCCATAAGGGCCGTACTAGTCTTCGCCATCATAATTATCATCATCCATATCATCGATGGGGTGTAGGAGAAGCTCTTCATAATTCCGAAGTTGCTTTGGTGCATAAGCAAGCGCCATATTTCGATCATCTCCGTCGGTTCGCATATAGAGCGTCTTTGCCCACGGCCACATTTCCCGACGACGTCCTCCCTACATGTCTGTTGAGGGTTTGATATGGTAATATAAAAACCTCGTTATCATTACGCAGGGATTCCAGGTCCTCCAGTACAATGGAATTGAGGAATGGAAAATCCCCGCTGGTCATTTCCTGCAATTGAACAGGCAAATCAGTGATGACATAGAATCCTTCTTTTTCGTGCAGCATCAATGATTCGAGAGTAGATGGTAGTGTGTCCTTTGAACGGAAGGGAGCCCGGGGTGGCTCGCAGCACCCACCAAGTAGAACCTCTGCTTGGATGTAGTCATGCTTCAGATTACTGAACGCGCGGAGGAGGTCAAAATGACCATCTTCATGGCGGTGCCTTGCACCAGGTTCCTCACGATGACCCTCGATAGCCGATGATATGCAAACTCTAAGTGAGACACGCCGGCACTGTCGCCTAACAGAATGGCTGCTTTCTCTGTATTGATGTTGAATAGTGAGGGATGGTGCAGACATGCTAGGTGAAATGTCGGCCACAGGTAGTCAAACCGCAAAGGAACATGGTTTCCAGAAAGTTCTTCTTCCTCGCGGTTCTTACCGGGTACACAAACATCCCCAATCAGCTTGGTCAGCGAATCCGAGGCGCTCAATCTATTGAATGAGGGATCCAAGTTAAGATATGGGTAACCAATACTTTTTATGTACTATTGTTGTTGCCTGTGATCTTTTCATTTTTGTACCTCCTAAAGGTATTGTCTGAATTAAAATCTGCTTCTAATTACCCAGAATTTCCTCATTGTAATTAGACCCTCTCTTGCGAGACCCAAAATTTATACTAACAGCAGATACACCAGCCTAATCAAATAATGGCAATTTGGGTTCGCGAGGGCTCCGAAAACAAGGGAGAATCAGTGATATGTCAGCCAGAAAGAGTTTCATCAGCGGTTTATGAAATGGGACCGTCAAAATGCACTTTAAATGCTGCAAATTTCAAGTTAATACATTTGTTGCTAGATATATAACCTGTCAAGACTCACTCATTGGGAAGGCATAAAAGCTCGTTTCAGTCTCTAACATATAACTGTAAAAGTTGTTTGGGCGTGGAATCTTCTTTAGCTCGCCTTGAGGTCCAGGTGCACGGCGAAGGTTGTCCAAACGACCGACGACACGAAGCATGGCTGTCAGAGCAACCTTACTGGCATCTTTGCCCAGGCATGTATGGGGGCCTACACCATAGTGAATATAGGACTCCATGGGGCGATCAAGACGAACGCTATCGGGATCAGGGAAGGCATCAGGATCCCGGTTGGCGTCGACCTTAGCATCGTCAGTAGAGCTTCAGATACTGACGAGCACAGATGGAAGCTTACAAAGCTGACAAACACTTTTTCGCCCGGTTTGATGTTCAAACGCCGACCTCGATCTTTCAAAGTGACGTGGGTCATTGATTCACGATACGATCCGAACGTTCCATGAAGACGAATAGCTTCCATGCAGTATCGTAGTAGTATTTCATCGGATTTGGGGGAGTCCTCCTTGGCAATGTGGTTGATAGCAACAAGGTGCTTTTTGCCTGCATCCGATAGATAGTAGTCAATGATCTGCGTGAATACCTGTGCTTGGTTGGGCACCATTGCAACCGCGGTTGGAAGAATCTGCGAGTAGGTGATCTCTGATGGACCCAGCCCTGTTTCCAATAAGCGCCATATCATATGGATTCCGTACTCCTGGAGTGGGTAGCTATTGGTGCGGAAGCTGTCAAAGAATGATGATAGGATCCCAGAGCTCTGGGTTTTCTTTACATTAGCCTCAACAATTTTGCCAAGTTTCTGGGCTGCAGCTCGCGCCTTGCGTCGCAGGGTAAAAGACTTTGATGGATCGACATCAAAAAAGATCGCTGTAAAAATAACAGCCATAATCTGGTACATCTCGTGTTCAGTGAAAATTCCATGGGGATTTTCCTCTGTTTTGAGGGGGAGCGAGAATATGCTTGAGGCAAAGTGAACGTGTGCCAAGTTCCCGACGCTGAATACTCTGGTTAGGCTTTCCTGCAAACGCTGAGGCAAGTTGAATACTCACTCACGAGTGATGTCGACTTGGTTCGCTCGTCCCAGCCTGCATGACTTATCCTTCAGCAACTTCTCAGTCATAGTGATGTAGAACTCTTTGACATGTTTATGCCATTGACATGTATAAAGAGAATTGTCCATAGTACGACGCTGGCTGGCATGGAACGAAGTATCTCCTGAGAGCATGAAATCATACCCTCCATTGCCAAAAACATACCCAGTGGCCTCGCCCCACATAACATGAAAGATATCCTGATCACCAAGGACGTGCCGCACATTATGATATGCAAATATGTCCTTCCTAGGGGGTATAAAGGCAGGGCGATCCCAGGAGTAATCTGACTCCCTGCCCAGGCTTTCCATGATGACTTTATTCTCAGCAGGTATGGTCATGGGGTAGTGAGCATATATCGAATCGGGCTTGAACCAATTGGGGAACGCACGTAATGCTAGCTTATAGAACATACAGCCTTGATTGGTTTCCAAATCATAATGTGATTCAGTAAAGCCCCAGTTTGTCAGGTTCCTGGCATTATAGTCCGCCTAGAGTCTGAATTCAGTTTCATCCATTCCCATGGGATTTGAGAAGCACCTACAGTATAAAATCGATCTCCTCGAACCAGTGCGACGGCATCAGATAATACAGCCCTCGATATGGTGTAACCAGGGGCAATACCAACCCCAGGGACCATTGGCTCCTTGGCCTCTTCTGCCACTATACCTGGATACAGCTCCACATAGTCAGGCTTTTCATAAAGGTGTCGCAGCCGATCCGCCACTTCTGGATCAGAATTGATTTCTTCGAAACTCTGATAGGGCTTCAGGCCAAAGAACTTGCGGAATTCATTGAGGGACCCGACATTCCATCGTCGCGCCTGTTCTATACCTAAAATCTCAACTGCTCGCAGTACCTTGGGTACATTTCGTGCACCGAAGGATCCTGATACACTCTCAATTGCATCAGTTAGGATAGCAATCAACTCCTCGTCTTTGAATGTACCATCATCCTGCCGTTTTAACTGGGAGAACGTGCGTTTTGCTGGGTCAGGGTTAAGATGCTTTCCATACTCGCCCAGGGCACCAAGTAGCTCTTGCACTGATGCGTCTTCTCCAGGCTTCCCAACCAGCTCCTCATATACCTCTTCCGTCCATTTTTCATCTTTCTGGCTTATTGTGCTATGCCAGCGATATGACAGGTTAAATTCAACCGAGCATTGATTACCGAGTCCAGAAGGGGTCGTCTCATGCTCCCCCATTCGGACCCGAGGGTCCAAGCACCAGGTACTGTTGGTTCGGTTGAGGTTTACAATTGTTCGCAGGTAGTCGTACAGTGTGATGTTTATAAATAGACCGCAAGTGATTAGCCGCCCTGTTTGGAACAGATCATTATCGTACTTCGCCCATGCCTTCTTGGCCTCTTCCGCTGAAAGCTGATCATCCTGAGGTTTCATAAATCGACCATTTTCGTTGATAGCAGCCAGTTGCTCGACAACATAGTTATGGAATCGATTCAACATGACCAGTATAACCCCGCAAGCCGCTGGCAATGCCTGCAACCGTGGTTCAGAAAAACAATCAGGCTTCAACTTTCCACCCTCAAATGTCCGGATCATGTTTTGTTCTTCTTGAATATCTCCATACAAAATGGATAGGTCCAGATAGGATGAGGTATTGTTTATATTCTCATCTTTTTGGTCTGTTTGAAAAATATCTATGTTGATGTTAGCCCTGGCTGTAAGATCTGTGTCATATATGGATGCTCACCGTGGATAACCAACGAGGCCCATGTGAAGAAAATGCTTGAGACTTTGTTCGGATGGGGTCTAAATTCATCACGAGCAAACAAACTATCAAAGATCAACCCTGGGTCAGGGAGGTTGGGTGGTCTAATGGTCTCGGGACGGATTGTGCGAGCATATTCCGTGTTGGCAGCTCCCAGCGAGGGAAGAGTAGGATTATTATGGGAGCCATCTGCACTTCGGTACGCGTACTTCTCTCCAACATGTCTAGACTATCTCAGCCCCAGTCATGACTCAAGGGTATGTCGCCATTGGGCCATGCTGCCTGATACTTACGCCAATGGTGGATGAGGAAGCGAATCCCAGAGATCATTGAGAAACAAATTCGTTAGCTTCGTTCGATTTTTGGACTCATCTGGAAGTCTGCTAACAAGCTGGATAGGACAGGAGAATTAGTATTGGCCTCATTGAGTTGCGCAGAGAATACACACCTGGATAACACGCTCCATGAGCATCGTCTTATCATCAATTGACTGTCTGGTCACTTTATTCTCGAGAAATGACATAAGGGTACTGGCATCCTTAATGCCCATGCTTCGAAGATCCGCCCAAATGCTACTGCTCGTTTCCTCCTCAACGTAGCTGCCGTCGCCTGTCTCTGTGGGAAGAGGACGGCGAGCGGCGTGGATGGCTTGTTTGTAATCCTTAAATGTGGACGATGAGTCTGCCTCTCCCTTCCCCATCTCCCTCTCCGGCAACTTTCCGCTAGGGGCATCTCTCTGCTCTCTGAATCTAGCCCCAAGAGAAGCACTAGCCTCGCTGTCAGTTTCGGTGCTCCGTTCCATTTTAGTGGATGCACTCTCGATCTGCTGAAGCTGTATGATGGAACCCTGTTGATTTGATGATACAGTTCGCTAAATATGAGAAGTGCATAAGAAGGTGGTAACCTTTAAGAGTCTTTATTCCATCCGTGTAGCTCGATAACTACTCTGGTCACCTGAAGAATCATCCTACAATAGTTGCATCGATCAATTGCAAGGCGTCAACTTTACATCACAGAATTTGTCGGACGAACATGTAACGAATAATTACATATCCATGATGAAACCTGGTTCAATGTATGTGGGAAGTGTGTATAAGTCGATCGAGACAAGGCGGTTGTCACGTCACGGCCGCTGAATGTTCGACTATGGAAGCTTGTCAACTTTATTTGTACCAGACAGAAGGCCACAGTAACTCTCAATCACTATCTGGAACAGCCATGTTACATAATGACAAAATTGTATTTATTCCAATGCCGGAGTACGGAGCATGGTTATCATGGCTGAGGATCAAATGCAACACAGCGTCGCATTGATAGAATCACGGCTCGCCTCGGATTGTGTGGTTATGGTAGACATCAATTGACTTTGCCCATGGAGTTTGTATGTCCGTCCATATAGTCGTTCTCGAAATCGGCTTGACCAACAAACATAACTATGTTGATTGATTCCTAGTCCCACTGCCAAGGCCTTAGTACCGGTAAATCATTGAACAGACTTAGTGAGGGGCTAGTAAGATTCATCTTGTATGATAACTACGGTGCGGGTTCGAGTAATATTACAAGATACACATGGAACTTCCAAGCAATCCAGGTATGATCAGAACTAACACCATATCCTTGAAATCGCGGTATCTCAAGATCAGTTTCCGCCTGTGTTTCTTCTGAAACTGGAGATAAATACATGGTACCATGATCAGTTGAAAGGTATGTATTGGTAATGTCAAATTATTTTACAATGACGACTCTTCCAAAGTTAAGCGTCTGTAGGCACTGGCCGCTTCTGGCATCCCAGACCCTGATGGTGTCATCGTAAGAAGCAGAGGCGAGGAGCTTGGAGTCATGGGAGAAGATGACCGACGTGACCGAGCCGCTATGGCCCTCAAGTGTCTGTACGCAAGCACCCCAGTTATCTTCTATAGTCGGTTTGGTCGTAATCCATTGGGGCTGCTCTTGCTCAAACAATCCTCGTATTAGGCTGCAGCTTGGGCTGAACACGAGTGCAAAATGGTATACTTGTAGTGGACTTCTTTCTATTGGCCACTTAAAGTAGAGAATAAATCGGCATGCATCCCAGATGAGAGTTAGCAATTGGGATCTTTCTGTTATTTTCTATAGCATGTTAGGACAATCTGTGAAGAATATAGCAGCGGTGTCTCACGGCCTACCTGAGCTAAATCCGTCAGCCGCAATATCGCAACCAAACCCAGGTGCACACTACCGGGTATTATACTCGTGCGATAGACTATAGGAAACACAAACCAGAAGTACAAGATGGGGCACAACGAAACCAGCCTGAGCCCAAAACAATTTATCCTGTGCTTCGATGGCACTGGGAACAAATTCCAAGGCGACGAGTCCGACAGCAATGTGTTGAAAATATTTAGGTGAGTCATCTACAGCCCTCAATAATACATGCTGTAGCACTCATGTCGCTTGAAGATGCTGGATCGTAGCGATTGCGACCAGTGCCATTATTATCAACCCGGGATCGGTACATATGTGACCTCACAGTCCTTCTCCAATAGAGGACGGGTGCAGAAGCTGAAATTTGCGTATCTCAAGGCCAAAGATGCGGCAAGTCTCTATGATATGTCCAACCCAGTCAGCTAGTTGCAGGGAAGCCTTGGGTAGTAACAGATACTCTTTTCCATCTTGCATGAACCTGTCTGTTTTGAGCATTCTGATCAGAAACATAACATCATTGGCATAACACATCCTCGAAAACTCATGCCACTGTTTTAAACATTGGATAATGGAACTTCGGAAATATGTTACACCCCAGAGGTGTATCTGATCAACTAGTGACAAGAGCTCCCAAGCTTTCCGCATTGTCACGACACGGTCGCTCCAGATTCTCTGAAAAACCTAGAACTTCAAGGTTAATTTGTCACTAAAGCTAAAACTTGGCCAGACTTACATAAACGGACTCACTGAACCCTTCATGTCCGGCATACTCTCTTACATCTCGCGGTCTCTTGTAGCCAACCAGGATATGCCAATGATTCAGCATCAGGACGGTGACCTTTTTTTTTCCCTGTCTTTTTCTCTCATGAATGGTCTTATGCGACACCCTCACACGATCAAGAGGCAATGAATGGATGGTGACCTTATCAGCAAATATACTACGAAGTACGGTCGGAGTCGAACTGATTTAACAATCTAGCACTCTTCGTTGTTTCCCAAACCCTAAATGCTAAGAAAATGAGTACTGTGAAATAGACTCTGATGAGCGTCTTTGGCGGAGGCGGCGTTGATGTCTTTATTATTATTATTATTATTATTGTTGTTGTTGTTGTTGTTGTTCATACACGCATCTGTCAGCCCTGTAGGCCGAGTGGCGGCAGGTCCTGCGGGGCGGCCGGGTAAGGGCCATCCTATCTGGAGAAGACAAACATCGGAAATGGAGATAAACATAGTGAGAATGTATAGCAGCTTTGACGAAACTAGCATATTGAGTCACCGCAATAAAGCAATCTGGCTTTCGCCCGGCACAACCTTGCAGTCGGAGTCATATACCGTATAAGAGGAGAAATCTTCAGCGAAGACGACATGGAAAAGCCAGTCAATCCCTACATTCCAGAAAAAGTGAGCAAAGTGAGCCGTAAGGAATGATGGTGGTGGAGGTAAAGAGAGGGGGGAAAAAAAGGAAATGCATACCTCTCTGTTTTCTTGGGATGGATCGTCTAAAATCTAGGAGAATGAATTCCTGCACCTCCTGATTGCTTATCCACTGTCTGTACTTCCCAGTCGTTTGAAAGCGCTCGATGTGCTCCTTGGGCTTGTCTCCATCCCGAACACACTCTACGATCCACTTTTCAGATGGGATCGCGAAGTCTACCCAGCCAGTCTGCTGAGTCCCGGCCCATTCTGATTTAAGGTAAAGGTTGCCAAGCAGTTCAAAACTTGCCCTATAGTATTCGTCTTGATAACCTGCTTCTAGGGGTCGTGAAACAGCGCTGTCGCTCAGGGGTGCTTCGATATTCAGCGCAACAGAGCTGAACATATGAAGAACGGAGAATGAAAACGCCTTGAGTGTGGGATATAGTGAGCGCGGAAACGGTACACTTGGCTGAGGAAGGAGAAATTCAGTGCATCTTCCAACAAGAAATTAGCGTCATTGTGGTTTGGTCAAAAAGAAGGAGCCTAACCTTCTGTGTAGCGGCGAGGCGAAGACATAAACTGTAGAATCATCACTAGACAGTTCTGCCTGCAACCATCCATTTCGGTAACACAGCTCCAGGGGCGTACCAGGGGCTGGGTCTCCTGAAACAAAGTTTTGTGAAACAGCAGTCTGTAAGAATTTAACCAGATCTGGCATTTTCTGGAGTACCTCTTCCGATACCAGACCGCGGGCAAACTTCGCATAATTCAAGGCTGCCTTAAGAAACTTGTCGGTCTGTATGAATTTGATTGCGTTCACGAGGGGGATCGGTAGGGCACGTCTCCGAAAACATCTAAGTTCCTAAGATCGGGTGAGTAAAAGAACAATAAAGATTGGCAGTAAGTACTAACCTTTGACTCCGATAGAATTTCTAGAACACAAGCCGATGCTGCTGCATGTCCCTGAGTCATTCCAAAGAGGTGCTCAATCAACTCAGCGGACGGACGAAACGGCTGGGAATCGCCATACGACTGGCAGCGGCGGTACACGAGATCATGGAATTCGTCATGTGATAGCAGGAGGCACAAATCCGGGTGCTCTGCAGAACGCTTGAGGGAGATACGCTGGTTTGAATTGAGTTTCAGAGGAGTTAACGTTGATGCCTCTTGGACAAGAGCAGAAGCCGAGCCGTAAGATGAGAATAACGCGACTCTCAGACCGAACCCAGGCTCTAAAAATTTGATCAGGTCATTCCACAGGCTAGAGTACCGGTAAGAGGCCTGAGCCTCGTCAATTATTAGCAGTCCATCAATGTCCATCCAATCATCGCGGTCCTGAGAGCGACGCGCTAAATTGTTTAGAAGATAACTGTACGGTGCTGACTTGGATAGGTAGTCAAAAGATTCTGGCCAACACAGGTGATATACTTCCAACCCTGGTTCAAGAATCGATACGTGTCTCGCGAGCAGATGGGCCAGGGTCGACTTCCCTGTAGCTGGGGTGCCACGGATGTGTACAACCTGCCTTCGCTTTATAAGATCCCACAAAGCGGTCACTGTCAGATTGCGTTCTGTAAAAGTTTCAGGCAGTCTCTTGCGCGGTGGAGAGCGAGCTGAACAACGAACTTGGTTAGTTTGGCACCTAGGAGCTAGTAGAAGACTGTTATTTACGGGGTCTGGGTGATGTAGGAGCCAAAGCAGATGGTGCAGAGGCAGTTGATTCCGGACTACTATCATGCTTAGAAAAGCAGTGTCCACAGATGCATCGTAACTCTGACAGATTTGGACGGGGGTCGACAACTTGGTACTGTCCCTTAGGACAGAAGCAAGGAACAGTTTGCCCATCTATCATGTATTCGCCCTTGCACCGGCCTGTCATGATGTATGCTGGCTGGTGTGATATGTCGTCAGGCGCTCCTGCGTTGAGCAGCTTGCGAAAAGCGTAGTATAGGAGGGACATGTTCGACCGCTCAACGGCAGAATGAGCGTAGAGGCAAGAGCGACAGACACAGGATATGCGGTAACCACCTATTTACGTAACTTGCGCAATAGATGGTGACCATGTTGGAAGACAGCTTGTCGAAATGAATGAGTAAACGGTAGGATAGAGAATGACTTCAGTAGACAGACAAAGGCGATTAGTCAGCATTCAGCCAAGATATGCGACGAGATTGAGGTGTACACAGGTCACGCCGCCACGAAAACGTAGACGCGTGACACATATCCCCGCCAAGTCCATTAATCAGCAGGTACGTGACACGCGACCTATTTAAATACAAAACCAAATACACTGAATTTCGATTTCAATTTCCTTTCTTAGTATCGTACTCTGTAGTCAGGGTTTCATTTCACCAACTGAAGTTACAAGTTAACATAATGTGCCAATGCATTTTCAGAAAAGGTTATATCCGGTGTCCGGGGCAGTAATTCAACAGACTTATAGGGCTCGGAGGGTTTTCAGAAGCATAAATTGCCTCTCCATGTCTCGAAACGAAGCCGTAAGGTTCCGGAGAGCCTCCTGGATCAGTGAAAAGACTTTCTTTGTTTGGTGGGTGCTCTCGTGCCCGACAGCGAAGTGGACCAACCGTTCATTCAACCGGAGGGCCCCGCGGCAGCCAAAATAAAGATCGCTGCGCTAAGATGCAAGCTAAGTCACGGTGAGGCTCGAATCAGAAAAGCGGATTCGCTGCGGCAATAATTACGGTCCCGATTGACGGTGCTATCACTAGGACGCGTAGTGATCTTCGCTCTTGTTTGTTTTAATAAATGAGAGCCCCATCAGGCTTCTCTTTTAGGAGCGTCAGGCTGATTTTGACGTTGCTTATTATTATCATCTTACCTACCACTTTTCTCGGGACTGACAATGCAGTTTCAAAAATGTGGACGAGCAGAAGAGCTGTCCTGAACAAGAAGATCTTCGTCACTGTTCTGGTCATCCTCATTCTGGTCAATACTTATCATTTATGGCTCGGAAAGCGGTATTTCAGCCATATTGCTCGGGCGGCATTCCACGATCACCAGACGCAGTTCCGGAATCAATTTTATCTCTTGCTCGATAAATATGCGCCCCGATGTCCGCCTCTGGAATTGATTAAGTCGGCAGGGTGGCCGAGATACGACGCCGTGTTTGAAATCGATCGGGAGAATCATATCGATAAGGCCGATGAGATCTTACAGCCCATGCAGACGGCGCATGATGGCTTTGTCCAGGCAACCCGGAAGCTCTATGTTCCTTATATGGTTCTGACAGAAGGCATCGTGTCGTCTGCAGGGGGTAAATATATGCCGACCTTTATAGTGACCCTGCGTTTGCTTCGACGAACTGGGTGCACATTGCCGGTAGAGCTCTTTGTCAAAGATTCGACTGAATACGAGTCGCACATCTGTGAGAAGACTCTCCCGGAACTCAATGCGAGATGTGTAGTGCTCTCAGAGGTGATGGGCCTAGAAAACCCAAAAGGCACTCATAATACAGATGGGGTAAAAATCGAGCACTACCAACTCAAATCCTTCGCGGTCCTCTTCTCATCATTCGAAAAGGTCATCTGGCTAGACGCCGACTGCATCCCTATCCATGACCCTGCGACCCTTTTGACCACCGACCCATTCAAATCTACGGGCCTAGTCACCTGGCCTGATTACTGGGCCAGCACCATCTCCCCACTATATTTCATCATCTCTCACCAACCCGAGTTTGCCACCACAGACCGCGCAACAACTGAAGCAGGCGTGTTCCTGGTCTCCAAGAAAGCCCATTCCCGCACCCTCCTTCTAGCAGCCTACTACAACTACTACGGCCCATCGCACTACTACCACCTCCTTGACCAGGGCGCCCCGGGAGAAGGCGATAAGGACACGTTCATACAGGCTGCCGCCGCCGTGGGCGAGAAATTCTACACGGTCAGCGAGAAAGTTGCGGATCTGGGTCATCAGCGCTATGAAGGGAATGACCATGACATTATCCATGTAGCGATGCTGCAGGCCGATCCGGGGGAGGACTACAAGCTTACCCAGCAAGGGAAATGGCGGGTAGAGGATACATCTGTGGCTGCTGCCCCTCGGGCATTCTTCATCCATGCGAATATGGTCAAGTTTAACCCCGGGGAAAAACTGTTGGAAGAGAGCTCGAATGAGTTTGATGATGGGCGGAGGAGGATGTGGACCGCTCCACAGACATCAGTTCGGCGGCTTGGATATGATGTTGAAAGGGCGGCTTGGGAGGAGGTCATGACAGTGAGCTGTACTTTAGCGGGTGCTTTTGAGACTTGGGAGGCTGGGGATGGGTTGTGTGAAGATGTTCAGAAGCATTGGGATGCTGTTTTTGATAATCCGGATGCTGACGGGCTTAATTTTACGCAACATTGATTGTTGACGCTTTGTATATAGATTCGTGCATACTGATCTTGGCATGATGTGTAATGCTCTGAATGCTCGTACTAACTGTTTTCCAAGAGCTTTAAGTAACGATCAATTCCATATCCCCAGTACGGCAAGCAAGGAGCAAAGGCTTCATTACACGCATCTGGAGCTACTGTGAAGGAAATCCAGACTTATCTCGAGTGATGTAATGATATAGTTGGTGCAAAAGAGTGCTAGAGGCCATCTTCAAGCTGCTGTGGTATGGCGCCATACAGGGCTTGTTAACTAGTTAAGCTAATGAAATTATATCATCACACACACTCTCTGCCCTACTTCACTTCCGCATATTTCACCAGCACGTCATGCAACCGCTCAAAAACACCCCATGCCAGCTCGTCACCTCCTCCCACAGTCCCACTCATTGTCCGGTAGAATCCCGCGCATCATCCGCAGCCACCCACCGACAATAAAATCCGCATAACTGACTTGCTTTCCGAGTAGAAAAGGCCCACTGGTGTCCCTCAAGAATAGCTTGGCCAGGTCCACCAGCATGTCTCGGAGAGAATTCTTCGGCTTCTCTCGTTCCTCGCCACTCACCGCGAAATCGTCCCAAGATGTAACACCAGCGCGCTGAACAAATTCTGTCTTAGTCGCTTCAGCGGTAGCTAGGTCGAGAGGAATACCGTGTATCATAAGCGGAATGTGTGCGCTGAAAGCCGCATCGACATTTGTATTAAATCAAGCGTACTCATCAAACTCGCCCTCTTTCCGCTCTGACAGCGGACAATAGTTCGGTGGGTTGCCTCCCGGATGAGTTAAAGGGTGATGCTGCTTTTCGGTCGCGCGACCAGGGGTGAGTCTGGGTGAGTGCGTTATAGAGAGGGTGAGCCATCACCCCTCTGAGAATAGTTTCCATTCAATGACTGGACAACCTACACAGGGTGCTGAATCAGAGGCCACACACCCACAACAAAACCTGAACACCATGAGTCAAAGCAATGATGGCAGTAGTGCACACCAGTGCCCCCAACAGATTCATTCTATCTGACCCCAAAGTTTTCAAAGGAGACATTGCTTCTTATTAGAACTTCAAACACCTCTTGAAAGCGAAACTTTATGTCGACAGACAAGCCTTGGGAGGTCCTTATGAACGCCTCTGGTATGCTTATGGAAGACTGTCTGGCAGTGCCAATTGCAGAGATTGGATTTAATCTGACTGACTTGAACTGCATTGCATGACAACTAGCCAACCGTGGAGGACCAGCCCGACTAGAAATAACATTTCATGACATACAGCATCTAATGATGTTAACTACTATACTCGGAAGGATGTCATAGGCACTATTCGAAGTGAATAGAGGAAGAACTCTGATTGAGAAAACTATCTATCGTCAGGCCTATTTATACGCAATCACGAGTATGTGCTAATCTATAGTCGGTGGATGCTGGCTGCATATCCGTACCCCTCGAGCCTATTATCGTCTCATGCGGCAGTAAGTCGTATGTTCCGGGTAGGCAGGAGTCTCAAGGTCAGGTTGGTCAATCGGAGCCAGCATATCAGGTGTTCCGGCATATACGGATGTCAACATATTATCTCTTTAACCATATCAAGCGTAGATGCGGTTTGTCATAAACGAGGAGTACTTTCCAGGCTTCCACGCCCGGGACAGGCGCTCGTGGGAGATGGGCCCGTGGCGTACGGAAACATTACACGGTACTAAGGTGGCCCTGTCATGCGCATCTCAGATTACACGCGTCAATGGACATTTGGAATCGAGTGTATTGACACTTATATCTCGTGGAGTGTACGTACATGCACGTGTTACACATACATCAATAAGTGTATCTGGTGTAATTGATGGAGCGGGACCCGATTTTACACCCACTGCTTGTTTCCAAGATGCGAGACAAACGCACCACCAAACCCACCCTCGATGCTGGCCTTCTCCCAGGTCGACCTGACATGTCGGACGGATTCTTCCGGAGTGATTGGGCCCTTGAAGTGAGGCGCATAGGTTACGAGCTTACCCACGAATCCCGTCATGCCCTGGATCTCTTCCGGAGTGGCTGTGGGTATGCATTAATAAAACGTCCAGATGTTGCAATCTTGAAGGCAGGAAGGGATACGTACAATCCGCGTAGCGGCCCACCTCCACCAAACCCGGGCTGATACTCATGAAGAGCACACCGTCTTTCTTGTATTGCGCGTTGAACTTGGCCACAATGACGTTCATGGCCGCCTTGGAGGCAGCGTATAAAGCACCAATATCAACCTCGCAATCGTTGATCAAGTCGAGGTCGGCCATACCGGTGGAAATGGTAATGACCTTCTTGACCTTGCCCTTCAGGACAAGAGGGAGGAAGAGGTGGAAGAGGTGGATGTTGCCGACGACATTGGTCTGCAATAGCTGCGATGAAACAGCCTCGACTTCCTCGACCTTGTCGCTCCTATTGAACACATAGGGTTAACCACAGACCAGCCCGGACAGTAGCCAGAGGGAAGTAGACCTACAATGCGCCGATGGGTCCATAGGTGTCCAAGTAGGGCACCAAAGCTCCGTTGGCCACCAGGTAGTCGATGCCACGCTCGCCAACGATATCGGCCGCGTCGGCAGCGGCTTGCTTCAGGCTGGCGTACTTGGTGAGGTCTGCATGGATGATGTGGACATTGAGACGGTCGCCCAGCTCTGCCGCTATCTTCTTCTCGGTCGCAGCTTTGTCGCAGACCAGACCGACGACCAGGTTCTTCTGGTCTTCCGAAATCTGCCTGAGGAACTCGAACTAGACTGGGTTAGGTAAAGACGGTGCGTCACGCGGTAGAAGGCAGACTCACCCCGATTCCCTTGGACACTCCGGTGATAACGTAAACGGACATGTTGAGTGAATGAGTAATGATTCTAAGTTGGATGAATTGTGTGTGTGTGTGTGTGTGTGTGTAGGATGCGACAAGGAGCTAGTCTAGGCTTTTATAGTTCGATTGGTTTGATAGAAAAGACCATATCATATGCTAGGTGCTTCATGATACTGCTCACTTAATAATAGAATGATAGAATGGGATGGAAGGGCAGCGTCTTTGTTTATTAAGCTCGGCGTTTTTAACTATCTCGCCATGCAGGCTTGTGCATACATGCATACCTAGGGACTTGCCTCCAATCTCCCTTGACATAAGACATGCAGCGTATGTCACACATACAGTAAAGTAGAATGGCCTCAGGCAGGCTTGGCAAATATTCGATTGAATCAATCCCCCACCAGTCAGACGAAAAGTACCAAGATGTTACGATACATCGAAAAAGAATGGGCGCGGCGGTGTCCAATGTGTGTGTGGGGGGTAAGCTGGGGGCGGGGGGATACTGAATGTGATTCCGACTAGGCATGACCCGCACCTCCAAAGTCCAAATTAGGACGATCGGAGTAAGCAAAGGATCCATTCGTAGTAGACCCTTGTGCTGATAACCCATGTAACAATGAACATGAACATGCCCACCCAACAGCGGGGGATCTCGGACTTGGACTCTTCGTGGCGCAGCACCATGCCAATTCCCACTATATGATCCCAAAGAAACGTAAGCTGAATCTCAGCCAGCTAGGAGGGTGCGCGTATGCCACCAGCCTGCCTCTGCATCCTTTGGAAAAGGGCCTTTCCCTACATATTCGTTTCCCCCCCCCTGCCCGCTATTGTCTTTGATTACCTATCCTGCTAGATCACCGCGCACTACTACAGTGAGGTGAGAAGGAAGACTTGCTTTTCAAATCACTCTCAGTCAGGATGGCCCTGCACGGGGTAACCTCATGTCCTCTGAAGACAACAACAGGCCGCGCTATCAAGTACAGTGGAACACCACCGCAAAGATGGTGTATCTGAGGAAGCCTTTATGTATTGGTTCACTAACCAGTTTCTGTCTCGGGCGGTTCCTATCATGAAGAAGCACAATATCTTGAAATATGCAGTTGTGAGTGGTTGCGAAACAACTATATTGATAGGAAGAGCTCACTGACACCACGTGACGGTTAGCAAAAGACGGATCTCAAAGTCGGCGCGGCCTGGCTGGAAAGTGAACGACTGCGATCTCGTGTTGGAGTATTAGGTCTATGACTTGGAGAGCACGAAGAACCTCGCCTCTGATCCGGAATGGATTCAAACGACCCTCGAGGATGAGAATGACTGGCTTGATACGTCTAGGTCTACCATCCGTATCGTTTATGATACGACATACTTGTAGTACGGGGCTATCATGAATGTAGCGGGACAAAAAAGAAGAAGCAGGGTTGTGCCTATTACATACCATTGAGCGCCAGAGTATGTATATCCTGATCGCCGCCTGCAGCAACCATCAATTGCAGGATAGGACCCAATATGTGGCTTGTGAAGTGCATGCAAATAAATTCCTCGGATCTATAATAGTGCATTACCAAGTGAATATGCCTAGTCGTTTCTTCCTATCGTGTAATTAAGATATACATAGTTACCAAAAACCGAAGATTTGGCTGATCGACAACTCCAAGTTTCAAGAGTAAAACTCCGCCATCATGGACCATGGTTTTCATGTCAATTCATATTTCTTTTCATTTGGAAAAACAGCTCTATCTCATACACATTTAATTTGATACGTAGTAAGTGACCAGTTTCTCAATGTGCTATCAGAAAATAGGTGGCGCAAGAAACAAGGTTTCCACTCTGGATGTCGATCCTGATCCCTCCTGTGTCCTAATTTTCAGATTATTAGTGTCACCCTGATCTTCAGCTACTAGTATCTGCTTCTTTGACTTAAATACCCTCCGATGCCCGCTCGTTCTGCATTCTGTAAGCCATCTAATTCCCATCAATAAAACCCGATCCAAGCAACCGCTCCAAATCCGACCAATATGAAGGCCACCATCTTTTTTACCATCGCCACCCTGTTCTCGACTTCCATAGCAACAGCTAACGGTGGCGACTGTGTAGTATGTCCTTTCCTGTCTCTTTTCAAAAGTTCAATATACAGAATGTGCTGCTGATTTGTGTTCCCCTCAAAATAGACTAGCTGTCTCACGAAAGCCGACGATGCCTCGGGCTGCAACATGGATGTGCAGTGTGCCTGCAACAGCCAGAAGTTCAAGGACACCGGTCTCAGCTGTGTCCAGTCCTGCGGCATTAGCGACGAGGAAGGTACGTTCTCCCAGCTATATCCTCTTAATACAATCCTAGAGTCGACAGCTGACAAGTCACACTAGCCAACTCTCAAATTAATAAGTACAGATCCCAGTTCTGCAGCTAGAGGGCGAAGTCCGGGATTACCTTGACGGTCCTGCGTCCCCAAGAGTGAACAGTTGCAGAGTTTATGAAACTAAATTCTACCAACACCAATATTCTTTGAGTAAATAAATAATGCTTTATCTCTTGATGTATATGAATTAATACATATGTTATTGTTTGTTGGCTGAATATTCCACCTAATTTTACTTTTACTCATTCGTTTCTTGCGGAGACCCTCCAAAAATTGACCCTGCTACAATATCTCAACATTTCATGAGCCTCACTCATTTACTCCGAAAGCACACCTACCGTCGTTAACAGTGGTTCCGAGTATGAATGATCGGTCCACGATATCCATTGCTAGGTACCGGCGTTACATACGGACTGATGCCGAGCGGAGCGGCCGGTTGAAGATGGTGATCAATGAAGGCCGTAATTCGCTCGAGAAGACGCTGGTCTTTGGTAGGCACCTGGGAGTGAGCGCCGAGTGCGGGCAAGGAGATTATTATTATTATTATTATTATTATTATTATTTAATCAAGTTTATTGTCTATATCGAGCCCTAAAGCTATGACAGACCATCTTCCATGAACCCGAAGCCCGTATCTAATTTTCAGCCTCTTGTCCCAATGGGTTCCCGAGGTAAGACTCCCTTCTATAATCTTTCTGATCCTTTTCCTTGCTCCAGGCCGCCTGTATGCGCAGGGCTTTCGAGCAGAATGCTCTCCTTGTGTTTTCAGGTAGACATCGCCAAAACCCAACTTTAGGTCGAAGATTCCGACCCAATCCTAAACTAGCATAATATATATATATATATATATATTTTTTTTTTTTGTCATTCATAAAGCTGATTATTCATCCCAATAAAATAACTAACTACAGCTGCTTAGCAGTGCTTAGCACTGTTTGGTTTTGCTGGCTCTGCTCACTCATCACCCCAACACTCACCCTCACCCAACTAGTGCTCTAGGTCATTGTCACAAACAGAGTAGAAATACAGCCTTACTCGCTACGCGAGCGAGACAAAAAAAGAAAAAAACATACAACAGCCGGGATTCGCTGGTGGTCACCCACCCAACTACTAACCGGCCGGCGTGTGGCTTAAGTACGGCTGAGCGGACGGGAAGCCCTGTTCTCCACACCCTATGGTCGTATGTACTAGGTAATTCTTTCAAGGAAAATATAATTCCCATTGCGCTAGATAATTAATCCAACTTGTCAGTTCAGCTGATGGGTCCATGATATCCTCTCGTACAATAACAGACAAGCATTGCTTTGACGCTCCAATTTTAAGGACGATCAACACATTCATCGACACTCGAACGCCTCGTCCGTGTCACTGGAGCCAGTCAGGTCAATCAACACCCTCGCTTAATCCACTCCATCCCCACTCCCTTTTTCAGCTCGTCGGAGATACAATCGTGGTGTCGTTCGATTGGGGTGTTCCTCAGCTCTTGTCGCCTGTGACATCAGTTCAGCTGCCATCGCGGCCAAGAAAATATAAATGGCCAATATTGGATGTTCGGGCTCCATGCCAACGTACACCTGAGAAAAAATGGGTCTGTCAAAATTTGACGGATCTTAGACATCAGGCGGGGTTATTGGGAAGGGAGAATCATAAATAACGGCCTTGTTCCCGGTCAAATCGGTCGCTTCCAGTGCAATCGCTAATCTTTCCTTTCTGAGTACCTTGAGAAATAACACAATCAACCAAGATGGGTGTAACTGAGACTCCTGACCAGGACACGATCGAGAAAGGGCTCAGACAGTCACAAAAAGGTGGGCCAATCGTCTTTTCTCGCAGAATAACATAGTTAAACAGCTCTAGCAAACGAAAATGACACCCAAGCGATGTTCGACATCTACATCTACGATGAAACGTCCAAGGCAGCCAAGATGGAAAAATTCGTCAACCTTGGAAGCATCAAGAACATCGAGGGCAAGGCTCTGAAGGACATCCGGAAGATGCTTATTAGTCAGAATGCGTTGACATATAGACAGTAGGTGGTCTCCATCAGATCTTCAAATATCTCTATTAACATATAGAAGAAAAGGAAGCTCGTTCTGCAACAAGGCTGGAGCTCAAGCAAACGAGGATCTGAGCTTTTCCGAGTACACGGAGTCTCTTAGTCGCGGAGTGGAAACGTCGATCGATGACAAGGAAGAGAAGAAACCGAGCAATGAAGGCGATGAGGCTCAAGCCGTATGCTGTCTTTCGATATCGCATTGCGATCAATTTGTTAACAAGAACAGGCCAGCGCATCCGGCACCCAGGGCGGTAAAACAGGCGCAAAGAAGGAAGTCTTCACTGTCTATCTCAAGTCTCGCAGACTCCCTACCGAGGTGGACGAGGCGACCAAGGAGTTCATGAAGCAGAAGTTGGAACTCGAACTCAGAGTACGCTACCCAATGTCCAAAGTTATCGCTCATCACTGATGATTGCTAGCAAGCGGAACTTGGAGCGACAGTCAAGCCCGAGCTCCTTACTAGCTCTTACAACCACAATAACTTCATGGCTTCAGCTGGCAGTGGCAAAGTGACGTGAGTCTTCTTATCTGATGACTGATCATGATACTTACCAGAGCAGTCATCCAGCCGATATGACACAGAAAGAATGGAATATAGTCATGCAGACCAACTCTCTACTCAACGGTAGCTATATTAGACTGCCCTCGGCCGGAGTCTCTAAAAAGGTCGAGCGTGCCATGTATCCAGGTATGCAGATCAAAGGATCAAGTTTGACATCAAACTAACCCAGCGACAGCCTTTCAACTGAAGCCCCGCCTGTTTCGTGACTACGAGGTGTCCCTCGATAGCAAAGATATCAAGACACCTGAGGTATAGTGACAAACTTTAGGATTCACAGAAAGAAGCTGACGTGAAGTAGCAAATGCTGCGTATCCCTCGATACAGGGTTGAGGATGATTCTTACGTCGAGGTGTCGGAGAACAAATCCTCTGTGGCGTCGGCAATTGCTTCAAGCTCTCTTTCTGAAATCGCCGCAGAAGTTGCTGTGTAAGTTCTTGGAATCATTTTATGTCACTCTCACTAACAAAAATAGTGAAGGAGGAGCTTTTGGCTACAGTGCCAGTGCTAAGGCTTCATACAAAAACGAAGAAAAATCGGCGAACTCCATGACAAGCCGTACGGATGAAAACCATATGACTATCACTTACAATGTCAGTTGCCCCGGAGAAGCGTTATATGAAACTGACTTGCTGATTTAGTTCCCCCGTGTGGTTGTCCAACTGGATGAAGACAGCCTGGAGCTTTCGGAGGAGTGCGCGGCGGACCTGAAGCATGTGAAGGACAAGGCTTCCGTGGAGGCATTCAGAACTAAATACGGTGGGTCACAAAAGGTTACGTATCTTCCAATGACAATCCCAGAATCTAACATTTCACAAAGGTGCCTTCTTCGCATCTCGTGTAGAACTTGGAGGACGGCTTCACTCCTCAGAAAACTCAAAGGCGTTGGGCAGTGGATCCGTGGAGGAGAAGTCCAAGTCCATGAAAGTCGCCGCGAGTGTGTCGTTCTCTTCGCCATTCGTGCAGGCGGCTGCCAGTGCCAGCTATGGAAATTCCAGCGCAAGCAAGAACGAGAATACCTCGAGCTCTCTTAACAACAGCATGACTTGGGAGGCTAAAGGAGGCGATACCTTGTTGTGCAATAAGTAGGTTCTCGACAATATTGGTGCGCGATCGATGCTAATCTGCTGGATCACAGCCCCCCTGCATGGTGTAGCACCGTGGCATCTTTCTACAACTGGCGCGTTGTCAAGGTATCCATCGCCTCAGTTTGAAATTGTTGAAGGCAACAACTAATCAAACAACAGCAAGAGAACCTTCTCTCGATTGAAGAGCTCATTTCGAGGACAGATGGACATCAGGGTGTCAAAACCCTGTTTGACAGCATCTTGCTCCCAGAGGGAAAGAAACCCGAACCTCCCAAGGTGGCAAGCGGTTCGCTTGTGGTCTGCTTCCTTGGTAAAGACACTTCCCAATACATGACCATGAGAGAGGATACGGGTCCTAATACTGCGATTGGTAAAGTCATCCCCAGTTCTGAAAGAAAACAGAGGCTCACAAATTCAAAGGTCAACATGTTGCGAGCGAAGCCTCGACCAAGATGTTTAACAACTTTTTTAGCGGGGGCTTTTATCCCCCAGCCCAAGTCACATGGCTCCAAAGATTGATGTCGAAATGCTGTCGCCCGCTTGTGATGAGAGAGGCGAGATTTACCGGATCTCAAGATTTCCAAGTTCATGGATTGATTAATACCACGACTGGACATAAGAGGGTAAGAAAGTCTTCATTTCTAATGATAAAGTTGGACTTGACTAACCAATTTCTTCTACCTCTCTAGCTCCAAAATGGCGCCACTTATAAGGTGTGGAATAAATTCGCAAATGGATGGATCAAGGGTACCGACTCTTTGCCTGGTTTCTATGACAATTCCTTCCTCCACGAAGAGGGCGATATGGGAGCTGCTTACATCAAGTTGCAGTCTGTCAAGCCATTTGAAGCGTCGGACGTTCTCGATCAAGAGGACGAAGTCTTCATATACATGTACGACGAAAGTGGAACGTTGCTTGGTCCAGTCAAGGAACTGCCAAATGGTATGCTTGGTACGGACCGAAGCGGGGGTGCTAAGACGTTTGTCCTCCGCTTTCAGTAATGGTGGCTCGTCTATGATTTTCAAGGGTCTTCCACAAGATCAACCAGAGATTATGCTAAATAAAAGTCTGGCTAGTCAAGAATAAGCAAGAACCATGGAAAAACCAACCAAAATTATTATATACAGCTCATACTTCTAGATATATAATGGCGCTCCATAGCTTGGCTTATCTATGGGCAGTTGATTCTGGTCAAATATGGCATCTCATCGTATCCAGTTATGCACAACCTAATTATGACACCTTTATTGTCGTAGAAGAAAAGCCAACAGTAAGGCCCCCAAATAAACCTGAGCAAAAGTACTTTTTAGCGCAATAATAGAATGAAGATCGACGGTGGTTTCTGTTTCAGAGATTGGATGGTTTGATGTCATGGTCCTGGGCATTCAGTCCGTCTGGATGTAACATTGCCACATTCTCCGTGAGCAGTCTTGGTTCTGTCCAGCATTCATGGTCGTGCATTCTCAAAAGCCAATATATTGGGTGCATTTGCAGCTGCTGGTCTTATTCCTTTCAAACCAGAGAGAGTGCTTGCAAAACTCAATGTCAACAAGACACCGACACCACCTTCGTCCTCATCCAGCAACCAATCCTTCTGTTTAGGAAGGACACCAGCCAATCTCTATCAATTGAATCAGCAGAAAAAGCAGATTCAAGATGTCCAAAAGCAATCTCTATCTTCAGTTGTTGCAGAGCAGATGCTTGGAAAATTCATGAAGAGCACAGAAGTTGCAATGCAGGATGCTGTCACGGGCTCGGAATAGAAGATAATAACGAACTGAATTCCTATCTAGACTATTGTAGCCATCAACGAGAATATCGAATCTGGGGAGAAGAAGAAAGAGGAAATCTATCTAGAAGACGAAGGGGTCTTATAGGCGTTTGTGTGATCTCGCTAATGTTCCGTTTGTCTTCATTGCACGGTTGGCGTTGTTTGGCGTGTTGATGTCGTTTGTCTATATCGGCGTCAGTGCAGCGTTGGGCCGTCACAACAAGGAGGCCAAGATGGGCTGCCATGCTCCCCTGGAACTCCCTCCTCCACCTGCCTCAATAGCAGCCGCCAAGCAGGCAGCCCAGAGGGTGTACTGGCAATGCTTTGCACAATTCTGGGCAGAAAAGGCCCCTGAACGCTATAAGAACTTTGGCATAAACATAGAGAAACGGCCACCAGAGCTCCAGCTCCCCCGAGCAGCTCTGGGTCGCCTCCTAGCCGCCAGGAGCGGTCATGGTGATTTTGCCGAGCACCATGAGCGCTTCAAACACGACAATGCCCTGCTGACATGCTCATGTGGCCGCAGAAAGGAGCCCTCCCACTTCTATTTCTGCCGAGACGGTCGCAAAGCAGCAGCACATCCATGGGGCCAACAACCAGTAGTGGACATCCTCACCAAAAAAGGCCGGGTTCACCGCATATGCAGATTGGCTGGGTAGATCACAATTCTATACTGCCATCTGTAAATGCCATTAGGATGCTAAATGCATCAAAGCTGGGAATCTCTAGGCTTACCCCCAGTTCCCTCCTCTCCTTCCCTCCTCTTTCCCCTCCTCTGTCCCCTCTTCCCCCTTCTCACCCCCCTCCTCCTTTCTTCTCTCTCACTTCTCCTGTTCTCGGTTTTTGTATCAAGAAAACCCCAAGATGCTCAGCTTGCTTTGAACAGCTGTGAAAACCCAAGCAGCTCCCCGCACGGGGGGCTACTTGTATTTAGATGATAGATGGTAGCTTAGCTAGGTGAACACACACACACACACACACGAGGCAAAAAAATGAAGAGGAAAAAGGCGATGGTCAAGCGAAACAATGGCCTACTTACGCCAAATAGTTTTTTAAATGCACTGTTTGGTTTTGCATAGCTCTGCTCACCCACTCATCACCCCAACACTCACCCTCACTCAACTAGTGCTCTAGGTCATTGTCATAAACAGAGTAGAAATACAGCCTCACTCGCTACGCGAGCGAGACAAAAGAAAAAAAAAAAGAAAACATACAACAGCCGGGATTCGCTGGTGGTCACCCACCCAACTACTAACCGGCCGGCGTGTGGCTTAAGTACGGCTGAGCGGACGGGAAGCCCTGTTTTCCACACCCTATGGTCGTATGTATCAAGACTCTAGCCGAAAAGGCTTATGTAGTGAATCTCTTAATCCCGAGCAATTAAGCCGCCACCATGCCACCGGAAAGACGAGAAATCAATTGCGCAGTAGCTAGTGGTGTATGAGTACCTAAGTAGCACGGCATAGATTATATCAACTACTTTTATGGTCGCAAGCAGATAGAAAGTTCACTGCCGAATGCTTATCCGAATATATATTCTGTATATGCGCATGCCGGGGTTAAATAGCAATTATTATATATTTCCAGAACAATTATGTACACAGGATGCATAACTGTGATGCAAAGCTGTGCACACAATCCCGAGTGCTTCTGTCCGATACTCGGGGGGTGACAGACAAGATACGTTGTCAGTACTCTGTACTCTGTACTCCGGACTCAGTGCCACTGCCACAGCCTGGCCGCGGGGAAGCGGGACAGATAAGAATATCACATGTCAGAACCACATAATAACGTCGAATAACATCGGCCAAACCCAACCAAGGAAAGGCTATTAGAATTTGCCGGTGTCCCTAAGAATAGTCCTATGTCGGATGGCAAAAAAGGAAAAAAAAAATGTTGGGAATTTATACGAGAGCGGGGAATGACAGAGACTGGTTTTCCTATCAAGGCTATATTATTACAATGCGCAAAGGATTCGCTGTTCCTGGTTAGGTTCTCTCAACAAAATGCTGACGCGATAGACGCCGCAGAGCAAACTCTTTTCTTTGTCTTGTTCTTCCTGTCAGTTCCTGTCAGTCCCTTTATCCTCTATCCTTGAACCAAAATGGCCATCTTGGATATCACACGAGACTTACCCACGCTCTTTAAACGGCAGGTCCAGGCCACCCCCAATGCCGTTGCTTTAGAGGATGACTCCACGAAATACACCTATGCCGAGCTAGATACTGAGGTCGATGCCCTTGCTAGTCGCCTGCGCGCGTATGGGGTCAGCCGGGATACTCTCGTGGGAGTACTTCTGCCTCGCAGCGCTCATTACGTGATTGCTTGCTTGGCTGCCCTGCGTGCCGGAGGCGCATTCTTGGTGCTGGAGTTGGCTTACCCCGCAGGCTTGTTGGCCGATGTCTTGGAAGATGCCAATCCCGCCGTCGTGATCACCCATCGGCCCGATGCCCACAAGATCAAAGCTAGTCACATCCCGCTGATCGCTGTCGATGAACCCGCCGCCGATGTCAACGGACACGCCAAGGAGCCCGCTCCCTTACCGGCCAGTGATGACCTGGACCGCCTGTCCTTTGTGTCTTATACGTCGGGGACAACGGGCAAGCCGAAAGGCATTGCCAATCCACACCGCGCCCCCGTGCTCTCCTACGATCTGAGATTTGCCGTGCAGGATCAGCAGCCTGGGGACCGGGTCGCGTGCAATGTGTTCTTCATCTGGGAGATGCTGCGTCCGCTGTTGCGAGGTGCCACGGTCGTTGCCGTTCCCGACGATGTGAGCTACGACCCGGCTGCCCTGGTGGACCTGCTCGCATCCAAACGGGTGACCGAAACGCTCATGACTCCTACCCTCTTGGCCACTATCCTCTCCCGCTACCCGCACATCGAAACTCGTCTTCCCGATCTGCGAACGTTATGGCTGAACGGTGAGGTCGTGACGACAGATCTTGCCCGTCGGGCTATCAAGGCTCTCCCCAACACCCGCCTGCTCAACTGCTACAGTGCCTGCGAAACGCATGAGATTGCATGCGGAGATATCCGCGAAACGATGGACGTCGAATCCCTGTACTGCCCCGTGGGCCCGCCGATGGACCCCACACACACTTATATTCTGAACGAGAGTGGACAAGAGGTAGAGGAGGGAATTTCTGGAGAACTCTACATCGGAGGCGCGCTACTGGCGCGGGAATACCTGAACCTCCCCGAGACAACCGCCAAAGCTTTCACGCCTGACCAGTTCGATGCCACCCCCGGCGCTCGCATGTACAGGACTGGCGACCGGGCGCGAAAGCTACCTTCGGGACTTCTCGAAATCACCGGTCGAGTAGGCGCAATGATCAAACTCCGCGGTTATTCCGTCGTCCCAGCCAAGGTGGAGAGTGAGATTTGTCAGTACCTGGCTGTCAGCCACTGCGCAGTGATTGCCCATGGCGACGGCCTGGACCGGCAGCTGGTTGCATACATTGTCCTCGATAAGGAGGCTTCTGGGGATGAGCGCCCGGCGGTCGAGATCAATGAGTCTGGTCACAGCCCTGCCGCGCGTCGTGTCCTCGAGCCATATCTCGCCCACTACATGATTCCAGCGCTGTGGGTTGCGATGGAGGAAATCCCTACTAACGACGTCTCCGGCAAGGTTGATCTCAAGAGCCTTCCTCCACCCCGCAGTCCCAGCCCCAGTGGCAGCGCCACGCCAAAGGACCCCATTGGTATCAATGACGTTGCGGCGATCTGGGCAACTGTCCTGAAAACATCGAAAGCCCTGCTGAAACCCGAAGACAACTTCTTTGATTTAGGTGGACATTCCTTGTCCCTGGCGGATTTGTCCGCAAGGCTCTCCAGACATTTTGGTTTCCGTGTGCCTATTCCCCGTCTTGCAGACAACTCGACCCTTACTGGCCACCTGGAAACCGTGCGTGCAGTCAGGGATGGACACACCGCAGCAGTGCAAGCAGATCTCCCGGCGGTCCTGCTTTCTGATGCCACCCTGGATGACGATATCAAACCCTCCTCGAACGCCACCATCACCTCGATCGCTACAGCCGAGACGGTGCTTCTGACCGGTGTGACTGGGTTCTTGGGTGCCTTCTTGCTGAACGACTTGTTAGAAAACACCTCGGCTCGTATTGTCTGCCTGGTGCGGTTCAACGACCCGGAAGACGACGACCAGGCCGGAGGTGTCGCGCGTATCCGCAGAAACCTGTTGGATCTGGGACTGTGGCGCGACTCAATCATGGAGCGCGTCGAGGTGCTCCCAGGAAACCTTTCCAGAACTCGATTCGGTCTGTCGCCTCAGGCCTTCGATGACCTCGCCGCTCGTGTCCAAGTTATCGTGCATGCTGGCGCCACCGTGAACCTGGTATACCCATATGCTGCGCTGCGGGGCGCCAACGTGGGTGGAACCAGAGAGGTTCTTCGTCTGTCGGCCAAGGGCGGCGCGACGGTGCAGTACATTTCCACCAACGGTGTCCTGCCCCCGTCTGGACAGAGCGGTTGGACCGAGGATGCTACGCTGGACGTGGACGAGGTTCCAACGAAGCTGCTCGACGGCTATGGCCAGACCAAATGGGTTGCCGAACAACTCGCGCTCAAGGCTGCTCAATGCGGACTGCCGGTTAAAATCCACCGCTGCGGTACCATCAGTGGCCACAGCACCACGGGCGCGGCCAATGCGTGGGATCTGCTTACCGCACTGATCGTGGAGTCGATCAAGATCGGCTACGCGCCCGATGTGGATGGCTGGCGTGCGGAGATGACCCCCGTGGACTATGTCAGTAAGGCCATCGTCCACCTCGCGTCGCAGACTCAGGCCACACAACCGGTCTTCCACCTCGGTGACCCCGATCCGGTCCCTACTCGCTCCGTCTTTGAGAACCTGAACGAGCTTGGCTATCCTACACAGCTACTCCCCTGGGACGAGTGGGTAGCCCTTTGGTACGAGAAACGAGGCTCCGCGAAGGGCGGCGACGGTGCATTTACCGTCGACATCCTTCGCAGCGGCATGCCGACTGTCGAGTTCCTGCGCGACATTGTCGTTCTCGACAACGCCCTGACCAAGCCTTTCCGCGCGGTCATCGAACGACCAAAGGTCGACAGTGACCTGCTGGAAACCTACACCCGGCACTGGTTCGCGCGAGGATGGTTCTCCAAACCCCCCTCTCGCCAGCACGTTCTCAACCGCTCCACAAAGCCCATCTCCAGAGGGCCCCTCAGCGGCCAAGTCGCCGTGGTGACGGGTGCATCGTCGGGCATCGGCGCCGCGGTGGCAGTCGCCCTTGCAAAGCAGGGCTGCGCCGTCGCACTGGGCGCCCGTCGCCTGGACGCGCTAGAATCCGTCAAGCGACGAGTCCAATCCGAAGTCCACGACGCCAAGTGCATCATCCGCTCTACCGACGTTACAAACCCCACACACACCGAAGCCCTCGTCCACGCCGCGAGCGAGGAGCTAGGTGGCCCCGTCGATATCCTAGTCGCTTGCGCGGGTGTCATGTACTTCACCCTGATGGCCAACACGCAGACAGACGAGTGGGCGCGCACCGTCGACGTCAACTGCAAGGGTCTTCTGAATGCCTTGGCCCCGACCGTGCCGGGCATGATCTCGCGCGGCCGCGGCCACATCGTTGCCATTTCCTCCGACGCGGGCCGGAAGGTCTTTCCCGGTCTGGGCGTCTACTCGGCTAGCAAGTTCTTCGTCGAAGCTACTCTGCAAGCGCTCCGGCTTGAAACCGCGGGGACGGGATTGCGCGTCACGAGCATTCAACCGGGGAACACGGCTACTGATCTATTGGGAATGTCGACGGATACTGAAGCTGTGGAGAAATATGGAGGGGAGTCTGGAGCCAAGATTCTGGATCCGTCGGATATTGCGAATTCGATTGTTCACGCTTTGATTCAGCCGGAACATGTTTCTGTTAATGAGATGTTGGTGGAGCCGAGGGAGGAGCCGATTTAGTGTTGCTCATTGTGTATGATATTGTTTTCAAGGATGTCTTCTTGCTTCGGTACGGATAGTGATAGATAGGTAAAATTTTCTGCCATACCCAAATCTTTCTGTTGACGTGACGCGTTCCAATGTACATACTCCATACTCCGTACTCGGGGCCGGGGTCAGTACTTAGTATAGTAAGTGATCGTCCCAGATCATGACCCAAGGATATATCCAACTGAGCGGTTTTGTCTGCTTGCCGGAGCCGGGGTTTCGTCGGTGTTTCCTAAACCCCACAACCCCGATCTTCCACACATGGTCTCGTACGGAGTACAGTGCAGTTCTATGAATCAGATAACAAGTTGTCAATGTATACTTGTATTTAGTAATGTCGCAAATACAACTACGGCGAATCTGACTAGGACCGGACCAATTGCCAGGAGAGAGAGAGAGAGAGAGACGCTGTCGGAAATTTAGCTATGTTCCGTGTTCATCGGTGTGTCCGGACACTAATGCTCCTCCAACCCCACAATCCTGATCTTCATGGTCCATTTAGAGCAAGATTTTCGGTAATGATCACATGGAGCTGAAAATTTCTCGACCATGCCTAGGTAAATGCATTGCTTAGCTGGAAGGTGGTCCAATGACAGCCAGGAACAGTTTATCTTTCCGCAAGCGTCAGGTGTGACTGGCTGGTTGCAGGAACCATTTCACATGCAGAGATTACCATAGCATTGGGATGGTATAAAGGCGTTCCCAAGCCCAAATCATAATGTCCAGGTCCAAGAACAATACACAACATGCATCTATCTCTGGCCATCCTATCGTTCCTGGCTGTGTGCAGTCATGCAATTCCATTGAACCCGCAGGCACGAGGTATGAACTTCCATTCTTATTCTTTTGCGATTTGCTCACATCCCTAGATGTCCCAGCCGATGAGTTGTCGCAATTCAACTTCTGGGTCGAGTATGCTGCAGCATCATATTGTCACGACAACTATGTCGCCAAAACTGGAGACAAGTTGACCTGCTGGGCAGACAACTGTCCCCAGGTCGAACAGGCTGATACAGAGATCCTATATGATTTCTCCAAGTAAGATATCTCTCATCGGTAACTTTATCTGCATACTAATGTACAAAGTACCACCGCCACCGACACCTCCGGCTTTGTCGCACTAGACACAACTACCAAGGCAATTGTCATCGCCTTCCGTGGCTCCTATTCAGTGCGCAACTGGATAGCCGACGCGACCTTTATCCACACTGACCCGAAGCTTTGCGACGGATGCCTCGCGGAACTCGGCTTCTGGAGTTCATGGACCCTAGTCCGTCACTCCATCATGGAGACTCTGAATCACACCGTGTCCGAGCACCCCGACTATGAAGTGGTCGTGGTGGGCCATAGTCTGGGCGCTGCAGTAGCCACGCTCGCAGCCACTGATATCCGGTCCAAAGGCCATCCCTCAGCCAAATTATACGCCTATGCGTCACCACGCGTAGCTAACTCAGCCCTGGCCAAGCACATCACAGCGCAAGATGGCAACTATCGATTCTCACACATTGATGACCCCGTGCCTAAACTGCCCTTGCTGAGTATGGGATATGTGCATGTCAGTCCGGAGTATTATATCAGCTCCGCCACCAATGCTACCGTTCACACTGGGGATATTGAGGTGTTGGAGGGAGAGGTCAACTTTCAAGGGAATACGGGGACGGGGCCGCCATTGTTGACTGCTTTTCCGGCTCATAATTGGTATTTTGGAAAGACGGATGGGTGCAAAGGTCCTGGTCTGCCACTTTAAGGGCTTCATAGAACACTGTCAGTTACATTTAAAACAAAAATGCATTATACATCTCATTAGATGACCTCCGTACTCATCAGGATCAATCAAGTCGTCGTAGTTGTAGCTGTATTTGCCAGGAAGTGTACTTATAGACAGATATCTATTCACTGTGTAGAGTCAATGACCAGAACGGTGATTGCAGAAAAACCGCGCTTCTTATATAATTCATGGCCGGTCACTTGCTTGCTACACTCGTTTAAAAAGAAGTATAAATGCTCACTTGCTACAACCTCATTCAATACGCTCTCATTCAGCAAAAAACATACAACGTTGTTCCTTTTCTGCCAGCTATGTCACCTCTACACATATCAAAAGAAAGATATGCTTGTGAAGTAAATATTCTCGGCATATGTATTACTCCATCCGGTTGGTCTGTCGGCAGTACTACTAACCCACTAGCAAGCTCATGGTCGAGGACAATTCCATATGGGCTACATTCCGGTCCCTTTGGTTTGCTTGGATATCATGGGCCGAAAGTTAGTTGGCTTGGCGTAGGTACTCGGAGATTTAACGCCTACTTTTAGCATATGACCGTACACTAGACTAAATTGGATAACTGCATATTTTCTTCTTCGCGGCCGCCGCATGTCGACCTAGGACTTTTATTCACATCCCAGAGAGTTGGTGGGGAAGGACCAAGCAGAATGCATTGGAAGACATCTCTCGTGGCCGTTGCCACCCTGGTCCCTTCGTCTGCGACCTTTTTCGTCTTCCCAGAGGATGTGAACGCCACGGCGCTAGCCCGAGCATATGGAATTGACGGCACCTGCTTTGCGGCCTTGAACTCGACGATTGACTGTCACCCGGCGACAGTTGCAAGAGTCCACAGCCCAGACGATATCTACTGGACTGCGGACAATATCACCAAGCTCTGTACCTCGAGCTGCCGCGAGAGTATGACGAACTCGGTGTCAAAGGCCACAGGGTTGTTCATGATATGGTTTCCCACATGCATGCATTTAGTGTCAGGACTCCTTGTCCACAGAGAAAACGGAAGACCAAGAAGATGAAAGAAATAAACAGTCATCATAACTGACATGCCGTGCTCAATTTGCCGTGGGCTCAACCAGGATGAGAATAACAGAAGTATTCCACTGAATGACATACCTTAGTAATGATGGACGCGAGCATTTTCTTCTTCTTCTTTTTTCTTTTTCTTTCTTTAGAAGTTAACATAAGGTAACACATATCATATGGTCATGTGCCGCCTTCGCGGGGGGGTGAAGCTGAAGTTTCTGTCACTGTGTCTTAAATGTCAAAGAATATCCGCAGAGCAAGGTAGGAGTTTTACAAACCTTTCAGGCATGATATCAGAGCTATGAACATGCTCATTTATTGAAATATAATGCACCTATTCGGTGGCATACTGACTGGTTAATATGTTGCTTATTATCTGTGGATCAGGCTATGGCAAGGAAAGGCATTGACGATACTATTGTATTCTGTAGCTGTCTAGATGGATGAGGGTGGATCTCCTCTATCCGGCACATGTGTGTGGGCTCGCTAGTGCGGGCCAATCAGGAGCGAGGCACATTGGAGCCTGAGGCTCTCCAACATTATCGAAGTATAGTGAAAAGTACGGTCAGGTCATATGGAAACACCAAGTGTCCAACTGGTACCCAATATCTCAAAAAGGAAGTTTGGTCGCAACTTCCTGAAAGAGCCTCAAACAATTCTGTCCCATCAAACACGCAGTGGGCAGACTTGATTATGAGTATTATGACTGTGCCTATGAATGAGAACTTTTCATTTGCTGTCTAGCACCGATCCAAATTGTCCTCTGTCACCTGAAGCGCTAACTAAACCCCAGTTAAAAGCAACAGTTTTCTGTAATCGTTCAATTCTCTCTATCAACTCAATTCTGGGGAGTGTCAAGAGATGACATCTCACACAAACTCCCTTCCTCTCTGGGAGTTTCAATCGTCTTCGAGCTCGAATCCTTCTGTTGAAGTAGGATAGGCTGTCTATGTTGGAGCAAAGGCTAGATGAGCTTGATTAACAGGAGAAAATCTGTGACAGCTAGCAATGGCCGACGCCTGAAAATACGGCCCAACAGTGATTATGGATGCCAACGTCTGCAAACGCTGCCTCCTGAGTGTGACGGCTCAATGCCTCAGTGGCTGATAAGCCTGATATCGACAAACGCCGCCATCCAAGCAAACAAAGAAAGCACTTAGCGCGGTCACAGATCCCATAGATAAAACCCCCTTTTCCCTGTAGATAGATTCCTTTTCTTCCCTCTCCAGATTCGATATTCTCGTCGATGGCTACACTGGTTTAGATAGGAATATCAATTCGTTATTATCTACTGGTCCGAGCCCGTGACAATCTCCATATAGACCTCTATGCTCGTAAGCTCGGCAAAAACAAAAACATACAACAGCCGGGATTCGCTGGTGGTCACCCACCCAACTACTAACCGGCCGGCGTGTGGCTTAAGTACGGCTGAGCGGACGGGAAGCCCTGTTCTCCACACCCTATGGTCGTATGTGCTTGTTCAGTCTTCCCCAGCGAGTTAATACCAGACGGCACTGACCCTAGCCTTGCCCTATCTTTCAGAAGTATCGGAACCTCGTCACTAGAGTGTTGCCGCTCTTCGGTCGCGCGACCAGGGGTGAGTTAGGGTGAGTGCGCTATAGAGAGGGTGAGCCATCACCCAACATCGCGCAGCGCCGCGCAATCTCAATCCTTTGAAATCCTTCCAATCTAATGACATGCTACAGCAACTGATCAGTGGCTGTCCTTTCCCAACTTCAAACACTGAGCTATTTTGGCATCTGCACATAGCCACAAAAAAAATATTCCCTTAACATGTGATTCAGCATAAGAACAGTGCACTTTTCTCTATTCTACCATGCTGATGAGAATTTGATGAATATCGGATGAATATCGGATGAATATCAGTTCTAGTAAGCACTCTACAGCAGACTCAATACTACGTACATTTTCTACTGCGCGATACTATCGCTATAGCTCTCGGTTGTCATATCTCGTACCAAATACATATGCCATTAGAAAAGAATGGATGTACGGCTATCCGGAGAATCGGCACCGCTCCGAAGCTTCCCCGTTTCAAGAATCAATCGGAGAATAGTTGGCCCGAGTCGCAAGGCCGGAGATCCTTATATGTAACAGGCATTGAAGGCAATGAAGCTGCCGACAAGGAGGCCAAACTAGGCTGTCGTGGTCCCCTAGTGCTCCCTCCATCACCTGCCTCAATAGCAACCGCCAAGCGAGCAGCCCAGAGGGTTTACTGGCGAGTTTTTGCACAATACTGGTCAGACAAAGTGTTGACTTCCATATATGCCGAATGAATGATAATGCTCGTTGCTCCGACTGACCAATCAGAGCCGGACAATCCTGCCTATCTACGACGTACGACTTATGGCTGCCCGAGCATATGCATGAACGGATACGGCTATGATGATAGGACCGGTGACCACGGCTATGCAGCCAGCATCCTTTGACAATGACCACCGCATACATGCGTTATGCGCTTTGTACTCCTTTTGTCTCTTTGAACTTCTCTCTCGCAACGACCTTCCCTTTTTGCGCTTAGTTGACGACCGCCAGATTGTGTATAAAAAGGCCGTACGATAGATAGATATCTAGAATCAGAGTTCTTCCCCTATTTGTTCTGAATAGTGCCTATGACATCGTTCCGAGTTTCCAAGGGTGCGTGGAAAGACCCGATCCTCGTCGTAAAATAGATACATACATACATATGCACATTTTTGCTAGTCAAGCACTCAATCAGCTGCGTATGCGCACACACGTTCGTTAGGCAATATATATTTCTACCTTCAGCTAGTCCTCTCCACTTAGACCTCGTTTAGTCCGGAATAATCGACTCCCGATTTCCCTTCTGAGCTACAATCCGAGAGACCCCGCTTCACCCGGCCCCGCGTCAGGGATATGTTTGTACGGACCTTTTATATGCTAGTTTTTCATCTCGGCAGGCGTTCTTTGTCTATCGAGTCCTTCCTGTGTATAACTAGAAAATAGCTTCCGGGGTCGGGGTCTAGCCCTTTGCAACAACCATATTACTGCAACTGCGCCGCAATCTGAACCCTCAGGGTAGCAAGGCTGATTTGAAGCTCTCCCTTCATAAGGCGTTCTTAGCTACCTCCAAGGAGGAACGAAAACTGTGTCATCACCGAAGGACAAAATACTCAGAACCACAGGGCCACACCCATGCTTGATTTAACGGCATTTATTGCGACCGAGTCCAAATACAGTTCATAAACATGCCAGACCATCCAAACCCTTATCCAACAAGTCGCGATCAATTCAGCGTCGCCGTTATTTGCGCATCTACACAAGAGGCGGACGCCGTCGAGGCCCTGTTCGATGAGTTTTACGATGAAACCGGCCACGACTACGGAAAGATCTATGGGGATCCCAATGCATACACAAACGGGAGGATCGGGAAACACCACGTTGTCCTCGCTCATATGCCAGGCATGGGCAAGGGGATTGCCTCCAGTGTTGCAACGAGCTTCAACGCGAGTTATAATAATATCAGGCTGGCATTGCTGGTTGGGATTTGTGGTGGGGTTCCGCGCAAAAAGGATGGAGGAGAGATCTTTCTAGGTGATGTACTGGTCAGCAATGGCCTTGTTCAATATGATCTGGGAAAACGGTTTCCAGATAAATTTTTCCGCAAGGATACCCTTGGTGAAAGTCTGGGGAGGCCGAACCAGGAGATTCGGTCGATACTGGAAAAGCAGGAGGGAGTCAGAAGTAAAGGCCTCTTGGAGGGGCGTTTAGCGTCCTATCTTGATGTGGTCCAGGACAGGTTGGGTGTGCAGAGAGCTGGGTACCCGGGGACCGAAGAAGATTTCCTTTTTCCATCAGACTACCGACACAAGCACCGCGAGCCTCAGGCATGCAGCCTCTGCGATAGCTGCCAGGCCAGAGGAGATCCTGTTTGCTATGAAGTTTTGCAGATGCGCTGTCAGGTGCTAAAATGCGATCGCACGATAAGCGGTGTTCGGACGAGGATCCCAAGCGAGGTTGAAAATCCTCCACCAGCTGTTCATGTTGGACTCATTGCATCTGGCGATACAGTGCTATTGTCCGGGGACGACCGCGACGAAATTTCTGCAAAGGAAGAGACAATTGGGTTTGAAATGGAAGGCGCTGGTGTTTGGGACAATATTCCCTGCATTGTCATCAAGGGTGTCAGTGACTACGCTGATAGCCACAAAAGTAGAAGGTGGCAAGGCTATGCCAGCGCAGCCGCGGCGTCTTGTATGAAGGCTTTCTTATGCGAATACACCGTTCCGGATCGTTTCATGACGACTATTTCGAGTATGTAGACCGACCGCGTCATTCAGATTGATCATTTACCGAGGATAAACAATATCACAGGCACGAACCCTTTTCCATGCGCACCTGGAGACCTTGAATTGGTAGTTCCCTCTCTTGAGCAACAGCAGCAGGACTGCCTCAACTCGCTTAAATTCTCTCAAGACACCGCGCGCTTGGAAAATATAGACGAAGCACAGGAGAGTACTTGTCAATGGCTTTTCGAGCGTGAGGAGTACCAGCGTTGGTTGGATCCTAGTCCTACGAAGACAAATGACCAGAACAACTTCCTATGGATCAAGGGAAAGCCTGGAGCGGGAAAGTCAACGCTTATGAAGTTTGCTTTTCTGGAATCCAAACGGACCATGAGTAATGTGATCATTTTGTCTTTCTTCTTTAATGCCCGCGGCGATATCCTGGAAAGGTCCACGCTAGGACTATACAGGTCTTTGTTGTTCCAATTGCTTACAAGCATCCCCGTGGGAGATGGACAATCATTTTGGGATGCAGCATCTCGAAAGAACAAACAAAACCGTGTCGCCAACTGGACGCTCAAAGAGCTCCAGAAAAATTTATCTGCAACATTACATGATCTCAAGGAATCCAATGTAGTTTGGTTTATTGATGCTGTGGACGAATGTGACGAGAAAGAAGCAAGAGACATGGTCTACTACCTGGAAGACCTAGGAAAATCGGCCGCTAGTTCTGGAATCTACTTCAAGATCTGCCTCGCAAGTCGTCATTATCCCTTTATCACTCTGGATGGAGCCATTGAGCTAGTGGTGGAAGAACAATCCGGCCATCGGAGTGACATCATGAAATACATAAACAGCAAATTGAAAGCTAAGATGAACAAACAAACTCAGGAAATCAAGGGGATAGTCTGTGGACGTGCGTCTGGGGTATTTCTATAGGTGGTACTAGTGGTCCCGCAGCTGAATGAAGCATTTGACCATGGTCGCGTTGAGGCTGCGCGAAAAAGACTGGACGAGCTCCCTGATGAGCTAGATGATCTCTTCGAAAATATTCTCAAAAAAGATGATAAACACCGGGACGATCTGATCCTCTGCATGCAGTGGGTTCTGTTTGCAAAGCGCCCGTTGACCAGAGAGGAATTTTGCATTGCAATCTGGTGTGAGAGCTCCCAAATTATCGAATTGGACCCCGACAAACACACCCCTGTGCAGATAGAGCGCTTCATTCTGAGCGCTTCAAAAGGATTGGTCGAGATTACACGGTCAAAAGACCATACTGTCCAATTCATCCATGAGTCGGTACGAGATTTCTTCTTGCTACGACATGGCATGGATCGAATCGGGGCCGGTTTGGGAGGCCAGCTCAGTGGTTTAAGCCATGACCGACTCAAGAAGTGCTGCTACAGATACATAACCTCTGATCTGGCAAGGGCCTACATAGCCGAGGCGGCTGCAGATGACGGGAAACAATTACATGTCGAGGTCAATACGCGATTTGTGCTCTTGGAATACGCAGTCCATGGCTTATTTTATCATGCCAATGCTGCAGAAGGCTCTGGCATCTCCCAAGGATCATTCCTGAAGCTATTCCAAGATCATGAGGGCCCTGATTTTGGTACTTTCATCAGCACTTTCAACGCGTTTGAGCGGTACGCTATCCGGCGCCACAATTCTAATGTGCGCTTGCTCTATATACTAGCAGAAAGTGATTTATGCCACCTCGTCAGATTGCATCTGGAAATGAATACTAGTTCCAATGTTCTTGCACAAATTGGCCGTTACGGGTCTCCTGTGGACGTGGCCATCGTCAAGGGTAACGAGACTACCCTTTGTGCTCTGCTCCAATGTCCTTCAGATACCTCGGACCTACTTCAACCGGAAATAGTATCGCAGATGGAAAAGTGTTTTAGGAATTCCCTGCGGTCCAAAATGAGACATACCGATCCTATACACCTCGCACACAACGCTTTACAGCGAGGACAGCTGAAAGTCTTTGAACTTATCTTTGCCACTGGCATGCTGGACCTAAACGCAACGTTCAACAACCACCATACCATTCTTACGCGTGCGGTTCTGGACGATCGAGAAGATCTGGTCAGGTTTCTACTTGACACAGAAAAAATTGATGTGAATGCTTCAGGCAAAGGTGGAAAGTCTGCTTTTGTCTTAGCTATAGAGCGTAATCACAAGGGAATGTTGGATGCCATAATTCAACATTCATCATTCAATATGAATGCAGAGGTTGAAGGACGAGGTGCTCTTTCTTTTGCTGCAGAGAAAGGAAACGTGGCAGTCTTGCAACATCTTCTTCAGTCGGACATAACTGCGCTTGACACAAAAGACAAGGGTGGCCGGACTGCCCTGTCATGGGCAGCAGCAGGGTCATCAGTCGAAACTGTGGTTCTCCTGCTGAGTATGCATATTTTGAACCTCAATACCCGAGATGAAAATGGTCGAACACCTCTCTCCTGGGCAGCTAACAGCGGAAGTGAAGATGTGATAGAGCTTCTTGTTGAATTGCCAGACATTGAGCTGAATTGCCAAGACAATCGAGGCCTGAGTCCCCTTTGCATAGCAGCAATGAATAACAGGCCCATGGCTGTGATACTGCTCCTCGAAACAGGCAAGACAGACGTGAATCTGGCGGATGCGGAAGGGAAAACTGCTTTGACCTGGGCTGCTGAGCGTGGGCATGAGAATGTTGTCGATATTCTCCTCGGAGCACCCAAGGTTGATGTACAATACCGGACTTATCTCAAGCGACGCACCCCTCTTTTCATAGCATCTATCAAAGGCAGGTATGAGGTAGTGAAGCTGCTGCTTGAGATCTTGCAGATTGAAGTCAATGCCCAGGATATCAATGGGCAGACCCCTCTTTCTGCAGCTGCAATAAGAGGTCATGAATCAGTTGTTAGCCTACTTCTGGCTAGGTCTGATATCGACGTGGAAAAGCAAGATGTCAATGGTCAGAGTCCACTCTCCCTTGCCGCCATGAGAGGGGAAGAACAAGTTGTCAAGTGTCTCGTGATGACTGGAAAGGCCGATATGAATTCAAATGATAAAAATAGGCGAACGCCTTTGTCTTGGGCAATGGGACCGTGGTTTCCAAAGAGAACAGAGGATCGATGCATGATACACTACATTCCCTTGTCGCAGTCCCATGTCTCCGTGGTGGAACTTCTCCTCCAAGAAAACGGACAAAGATATGCCTTTGCGCCCGAAAAGCACTTTTGGATGCCCGCGTCATGGGCAAAATACATGGAAGTTTGGACATCAAGAGTGCCAGATATGGATAGTCGAAGCATTCAACGGTTACTAGACATGATACACCGATGGCACAATACCGCTAGCACTTTGTACGTCCCAACTTGTGTTTTCGGTACGGAGCGAAATACAATTCTAATGGCTGGAGAGTACTTTGAGTACCGACCTTATCACCGCCAACTTCAGGAACTGGGATACGGCAAATACAAAAACCCCTCGGTGGTCATCTTGGACTGATGTATATTACGCTTGTAATATGATATTAAGCAGCATGGAGCAGATTATATATTTTCGTTTCAGTTTATATGGCTCAAGACATAGGTTGTAGTTCAGGCCAGTTTTCTTGTTATCACTTTCCATCTGTGTGAGCACTTCGGTGAAAGCTTTGATATAGATGGTTATCTGTGTTCTAATATCTGGAATCTTTCGCCTTGCTTTAGTTAATTTGATTATTGCAACAATATCTTATTCAAGCTCTACACAGTAATTGCGGGCACAATTAGCCTCACAAGCACAGCACTTAGGACGGTCTATTGATTTGCTGAGCCCATGTGCCAGGAACACGGCGTAGTTAGTGATCCGTCCGGGATCACCCGGAGGGTGGAGTCGACAGTAATGTCGTAGATGTCGATTAGTTCAGGCAAGGATTAGCCCGACACACCTCCAACATCACAAAAACAGCATGAATGGATGTAGGATAATGTCATACTTTGGTGCTAAAATCCACTGCGGCATGGTTCTAGCGATCTGTATGTTTACACTGCCACGCCCACGATCCTTCGTTGTCGGTGTTTCTGCCTTGTCTGCAATTAGTAGGGATTGGCTTAACTCCTTATGCCTGTGGTTCGGGCCATCATCCCATCCTTATCTGAACTGGTCAACGCCAGTCTCCACCTTCCGGGGTTTCCGGTGTGTTCCCAGCATAGTGGTTCAGCGAATCACCGCCAAACCCTAGGTGCGTTGTAGAAAATGTCGCATCTCTTTGTCCCCGGAGAACAGTTGTCATCACACATTCAGGCGGCGCCAACACCATGCCGTGGGCGTCGAACCCGGACGTGGTGGGCATTATCGCGGCACACTACCCTGGCCAGGAGAGCGGCAATGCCATTGTTGACGTTCTCTTTGGAGACGTGAACCCATCCGGTCGACTTCCGTACACCATTTCCAACCATACAGAAGACTATGGCGCGCAGGCCCAGATACTGAATGTAACCGGCCCCGACGCCACCGAGCCTTGGGCCTGGCAAAGCAACTTCACCCAGGGGCTCCTGATCGACTACCGCCATTTCGACTCCAATAACATTGCTCCCCTGTATGAGTTCGGCTACGGCCTCAGCTACACCACCTTTGAGTTGGTATCGGAGCTATCAGTGCCCGGCCGCTCCGGGACCGTGTCTCCATACCCGGCCCCCACAAACTCCACACTCGCGTTGGGTGGTAACCCCAACCTGTGGAAGACCGTGGCGGCATGCTCGTCGTCCGTAAAGAACACGGGATCCGTAGCCGGCGCGACGGTCGTTCAGCTCGCGCGATTTACGGCGTAATTCTACCGTGAGGATTATTTAACTAGCCTAGTCAATGATGACTATTGTATACTAGACATATATATGGACTTTTTGAATAAATAGTTACTGGAATTTATTGTTAATTCATCTAACTTTTTATTTATTTATTTTTCAGAGGGCAATGGAAGAACTGTTATCCAGAGTCAAACCATGCAGGCTTCTCGGCGTGTTTTCCAAAGCTCCGAAAACCCTCCGTTTCATGCATGCACTATAACATGCTCTTTGCCACTTTAGTCCAGCAGGGACTTTGGTCAAAAGGATCATTTCAATCCTTCTTGAATGATTCTTCAAGATATATAGCCGGAAAGTGCTGGAGGCCAACAGCAGACTGAACAACTGAGCACACCACGGTCACCACCATACCACTCTTTAGTCTCTTCCTACAACCGAGTGTGTGGTCTTTATACACGCACACCCAACCATGAACAGCTCGGAGGTGCATCCGTCCCGGAAATTTCTGCTCGTCGTGACAACGGGAGGGTTTACACATGCCGGTAGGTGGACAAGGAAAATCCCGAATGAATATTTCTTGGTCGGTCGACTAAAACGAAGACTTGGCGTTGCAAAGGCCCCGTGTTAGAGGTCGGCAGGACGTTAGCGGCGCGCGGCCACACGATAGAATTCGCAACATTAGAGGGCCAAGAGGACTGGGTCAGGAACGAGGAATATGGATTCGTCACCAAAGTGCATCTGTTGGGCGCTGGCCCAACGGAAGACCAGCTGGAAGCGCATTACCGACGGTCATCTGATGTAGATATTCTCCAATGGCTGCATGACCTGACTTCAATTGGAAATAGCGACTTGCCAGGTGCTTGGGGGCAACTGCAGCTGTCAGGTTGAGCCGCCAGTTCTTCTGCAGCCTGTACATTCGTTGACCTTGTTGGGATCGTTGGCTGAGCTCCTTAGTGAGCCATCTCTGCTTCTGTGTTGTAACAGCTTCTGTTCGGGCTCTACAGGCAAAGGCCAGAGAGATCTCTCTTGGGCCTTTTCCTGGAGGCTTATTGGCTGCCTGCTTTGCCGCCTGGTCAGCTTTCTCATTTCCTTCTACTCCTGCGTGTCCCGGAACCCATTGGATAGTGGGTTGATGGCCTCGGGCATGTAGTCTCTTGGCTATAGTATGTGCTTGGATCACTAATGCTTGACCTGGCCCTGGCTGGGTGTGTCGCAGCCTCGCAATGGCGGCTTGGGAGTCCAGCAGGATAGTGACTGGTCTTTGATCCCCCACCTTCTCTGCTACTCAGAGTGCTCATACAACTCCAAGAAGCTCTGCATCAAAGACCTCGCATCCCTTGCCCAATGGGAACCCCCGGGTCTTCCATGTTCCTCCTGGCTCTTGCCAAGCAATCCCTGCCCCGCATCTGCCATTCTCTAATCTTGATCCGTCTGACCAGATTGCTAGTCCAGGAGAGAGAGATCACGCTGCTACTAGGGCCTCTGGGCTTGGTAGCACTTCTATTTGGCCTGGGAACTGGCTACTGGCTGTCTGTATCGTGCTTTCAAAGCCCTCGGATGGGTCCGCTGGTAGGATGTTGGCTAATTGTCGAGCTAGATGTTGTCCCAGGGACCATGGGCCCCGGTTGCTGCTTTCCGCCCATTGTCGGTTCCCTGGGGTCTGCTCCCCGGGCTGAGTGTGTTGGTCTCCTTCTCGGAAGCTCACAGGTAGAGTGGCACAGCGAAGCCGCAAAATCCGCGCCAATCCGCGCCGAATCCGCAATGGCGCGGATTCGGATCCAATGGGCCAGAATCCGAAGCGGCTGCGGATTATACACGCAGGATCCGCAGCGGCGCGGATAATCTGAATGGAGTGGCTTGGAGTGGATTTTGTGGCTTGGATTATCCACAAGATCCAATTACAATATGTTACTGTAATTTAGTAAATAACTAGCAGTTGGCCAATTTTTTAATCAAACTATGGTTGGATTTAATGATTAATATACAATGAAATGCCTTTGTTATAGATTTCAATTGGATATGGATGTTGTTG